CTCTCTCTCTCTCTCTCTCTCTCTCTCTCTCCGCCCCTTCTCTATATGCCTCTCGCTATCTCTATATCAGAGAAGTGTTGCACGCTTCTGAGCTATTAGCAGTCTCATGATAGAGGCCGCCCGCCCCTCCAGAGAAAAACGACTGCCGAAACTGACGCTAACCTCACCCTCGTAGTCTCCATCCTCACCATCCTCAAGAACCCTATGATCCTCCTCGGCTTGATCAGCATGGGTATCTTCCTCGGCATGCCCTACCTCATGGACAACAGTACGTGCTCCCGCGCCAAGACAATCAAACCTCTTCCACCCTAAGCAAGTCTCTCTAACACAAATCTCAACTCCTAGTGGATCCCGAAATGCGCGCCGAGTTCGAAGAGCGCCAAAAGAGCAATCCCATGAACTCCCTCCTCGGCGGCGGCGGCGGCGGCGGCGACGCCAACCCCATGGCCAACTTCGACATGGCAGGCTTCCTCGCGGGCACCAGCAGCAGCAAGAAGGAAGAAACATCCGGTTCCACGAGCGGCAGCGCCGGCGGCAAGAAGGAGAAGGGCGTGCGGAGGTAAGAAAAGAGAAAGAAGGAAAGAAAGCGCTTCTACGGTGACAAGATTGATACTGCGGTTCATTTGGGATCTAGGTCATGGCGCTTTTGTTCACTGCCCTATAGACACGTTCACAAGATTGAATGGCCCACGACGTGGCATTGCCGCACCGGTGATATGTCTTCATGCCAATGTGCTCATTGCAGAAAAGGTTTATCGGTCGCCTTTTTTTCTCTCGCTTGTGACATAGACTGCTATATGAAGTGTTTGCAGGAAATGCGAGCATGCATGAGGTTTGAACGCACCGGGGCTCATTGCTCATAAGAAGAACACATATTAGAAACAAGATTTATGCCGCCGAAACCGCCCCTGTCCATTTCCCTGTCCATCAGCCCTTCTCTCATAATCCCCCCTCACACATCAGGATGGACTGGCCGCATCTACAGCGCCAGCCACTCAGAAGTCGCCGCCAAAGTCGTCACCACCACCATAGTCATCTCCATCATTTCCATCGTCTGTGCAAAAGTCAGTCATTCTGATGCAAAACTTGTCAAAGGCATAAGAGTCGCGACTCACTGTATCCCTCAGCATACGCCTCCTGCTGCTCATCATTGATATGATCCGCAATCAGCGCGCCACCAAGCAGACCGGCACCGGCTCCGAGTGCGAGACCGCCCGCCATGCCCATGCCGCCGCCGCCGGGTTTCCGGCCGCCACCCATTCCGCCCATTCCGCCCATTCCGCGGCCGTAGCCCTGCTGCTGAGGATATCCTCCATAACCCTGCTGTGGAGGGTAGCCCCCGTACCCTTGCTGAGGCGGGTAGCCGCCATATTGCTGCTGCGGGGGATAACCACCATAGCCTTGCTGAGGCGGGTAGCCGCCGTATCCTTGCTGCTGGGGATATCCTCCGTACTGCGGCTGCGCGGGGCTAGAGCCACCCATACCTCCCGTCTTGGCCTTGCCAAGCAGCTTGCCCAGGAACCCGCCGGAGCTCTTTCCTCTTGTCTCCTGTGCGCGGGGTGGGAGCTGGTCGGGGAACGATGACTGCGACTGCTGGTATTGCTGCTGCTGGGGGTTGTAGTCCGGGGGCATGGGAGAGTGGCTACCGCCTCCACCGCCGCTGCGGGCGCGGGATTCTTCCTCTGCCTGAAGCTGGCGGGCTAGGCGCTCGTCCTCGGACATCGTGTTGGAGCCGCCGGCACCGGGTGGCTGCGGGGTCGAAGACTGGTCCTCGTAGGGGTTGCCCTTATGATCGTAGGGGTTTTGCTTTTGGTCGACGGGCGGCGTCGAATGGTCGCCGGGGCGCGGGGCGTAACCCGGAGGGGGGCCGCCCGGGTGCCCATCCTCTGCTGGTGGGGGAGGAGGAGGGAGGGCTGGCTCCGTTGGCTTATCCCACTGGGATTGCTTGGTGTGGAGGTTCACATAAAACCTGGCGTGAGTGGGTTAGTATGCGCATAATGAAGAAAGGCCGACGGTCGTTGGCGGTAAGGTCTGTACTTGCCATTCTTTGTACTGGTCGTTCCAGCGAGCGATCCAGCCGGGAGGGACCTCGGGGGCCTTGGGAGGCGGGGGACCCGACGGGGGAGCAAATTGGTCGGCCATGTGTGTGTTGTGTAGTGAATTCAAGCACAGAGGAAGTAGTACTGTGCAATTTCGATTGAAATCTCTGGGAGGTGCGAAGTCTCTCAATCAATCCAGTTGGTTTGGCGTGAGGGAGATTTTTTTGGTGTAGGTGAGTAGGTTGTGGAGGAGATGTGTGTGTGTCTAAAAAAGACAGACAGAGTTTCCGGGTTTCCACAGCTACCTTCTTCCAGATAATTAGAGAATTTCGGGAGAGGAAAAGAAGCCAAAGTTTGAGGTTGGGATGAGATAGGAATTTGGGGGAGGTAAGGGCAGTAGGTATTGCCTCCTCCGCGGGGTGTCAGGTGTTGTAATGGGGAGGCGCAATAGGTCGACTGGAGCTGGGCGCGGAGGGCCGGGATTACGTCTTTCAGTTTTGGAACGGTTCAGGTCCCTACCCCCTCAACAAGCTAAGGGTATGGCCACCTTGGGAGGGTTCTCTACCCTGCGCGACCAATGGCACCTCGACATTTCCGCTGCTCCCGCGGTCCAAAGGTACCTTGACAACATGGTGAGGGAAAGGCCTACCTACCTTAGGAGAAGAAAGGTAGTTACGACACCTACCTCAGCATCTTCTGGAACGGGGAAGATTGTGATAACAGTACAGCCATCGTGTTAATGACATGCCGTGCGAAGGGCAGAGGTCGCAGGGAGCAAGCCCGAGGCCAGGTATATCGACCAGTAGATCAGAACCGGGCCTAGTTCAATTCTATTCCGCTTCTCGAAGCTGGTCTCGCTGACCCAGGTATCTCGCCTCTCCCAGTCCTGTCCTGCGGTTGCGTCTTGGCTATGCTGCGAGCTGCAAAGCACAGCCCCGCTGATCCTTGTCGAGCGGATTGCCCCCACCTCTCCCTGCCTGCCTGTCGCTTCCCACTGCGTCCCGGGATGCCGGAGAGCCGATACGTGAGATACCTAGGTAGTGGGCGGCCCATCAAAGTATCTGGTTAGTTCCTTCACAACGTAAAACAAGCTTTCCGATACTCCAACAGTACCCTTCCGTCAGCACACTAAGGCAAAACCGATCCCCCAAAAGGGTACCTGATGTCGACTGGAAACGTCTCGAACATGCCGTGGATCTCACCCATGAATTTTACGCTCGCCCTCAACGTTTCTCTACTTTTCCTTTTCAAGAGAGGGCAATGCGATATTGACGCCGCACAAAGACTGTGGCTGGTGACCCTTTAACGAAGTCGACCTGTGGCAAACTGAGTTCTTTCCCTCTGCCTGGCGGCAAATTGGCAGACATGGTTTGCAGGATGACGCTATACAAGTGGCGGTGCCTCCCACCACCAGCATCTGATCACATCCACCTCAGGTCGCGATACTCCTGTACCCCGAATGACAAACTGCCTACACCCCATAAACTGCACTATTTTACCTAGAAGAAACCACGCCGCACTCCGCCCTCTGCGCCGATGCTAGCCCATCTCCATTCCGCCACGTTCAACGACCACTCTCCTCGGGCGTCGATGTTGGCCATTGAAATGTGAAGACACCGGGGCGCAGTATATCGTTAAGCTTGGCAGTATCACTACCCGCCATTCATCACTTACGTACACGTCGTCGCGAGGCTCGGTCATCGAGTTCTCAGCATGTCATGAAAACCATCCTTCAAAATTTGCCTACACTTAGGCATCTATCCCATCTAGACATATAAGCACGCTAGCGCAGGCAAGCTCCTCAATCATCGACTGTACAATTTCTCGTCAAATGCTGCAAGACAAACAACTACGGCAGGACCTCACTCAGGGTAGGCCCCTCTCGTCCCGTCTTCTCTCTCCAAAGAGGTAGGCTGCCTCCATGCAATAGGCGCCACCCCCGCTGGCCATCCGCCGCTCGCTGCCGTAGCAGATGACGACTGCATCCAGAATGCCACTGAGGATACCTTCCATGGCACCCATGACCGAAAACCCAATGAAACTAGCCACTATACCAACCACATATGCGTACGCCGAACCCCGTACTCCCATTCCGTCCGGCAGAGCGATAGAGAGCTGCTTCGCCGTCATGACCCATCCAGCAAAACCAAGTCCCGTCGCCATGATGAACCGAGTTGCATACAAAAGCATCTTTGCAAGCCGATAAGGAAGCAAAGGAGAGTGACTGGACCGCCGTGTGCTGAACACTTGCGGTGTCAGTGTTGTCGTAGGGCGCTGTGGGGACAAAAAGTCCATCTGGCTGAGACCGCGAGCCGCTGTGTGCAGGTTCTGCGAGTGAATCGCCCCGTACGTGATGGTGAGAGGGTTCGTGAGCGCGGCGATGGGCGTCGGTATCCACATGGCAGCGACGTGCTGCAGGATATTAGCAAATTTGCGTGGCAGCACGAGGAGCGGTGCCCGAATAAGAAGCGCAATCAATGTCGACTCGCAGATGCTGCCAAAAATGGTGGTCGTCGCGTGGTTGAGCGCCGCCGTGACAATCTCAGCCGATGTCGGGGCCGGCGCCGCGTTGCGGTGGAAGTACCACTGAGACACTGTCGCTGCTGTCGTCGCCCGTTGCACCGCGTTGATGACCCCAATAGTCCACATGTACATCAAAACGAACCAGATACCCAGCCACCAGCTCGACACGCTGATGATGAACCTGGCGAGTCTTCTAGAGAAGTATCCTCCTAAGAAGATTCTCGAGAACATCCACATCCAGACCCAGGTCCACGTTACTATGATCGCTAGACAACTGAAGCCCAAGATGAGTAATGCCGTGTTCGCTGCAAGAATCCTCGTGGAGAACTCCAGTATCTCAATCGCCTGACGGATGGCGTTGCGGCCCTTCCAAGCCATGTACACCCAGATACAGGCTGAGATGGCTGGGACCAGGGCAGCCCATCGCATTGCCCGATCCTGAAAACTTGTCCCGTGTGATCTTCCCTCGTAGCTAGAAATGAAGGGGTATAGCGTAAATGAAAACATGATGATAGGTACTGCAACAAGAATCACTAACGCCAGCGGCCGGGCAAAGGATCGCAGTGCTGCCAGCCACACAAAGGATACCAGGACCGAAATAAGTGTATCCACGGCAAGCATGTGGAAGGACGCTTGTAATGTCGTGTAGACAGTGTCACCCCATCCTTTCTTAGGTGTACCGGTGTGCAGCCAGACAAGCACGAAGGTAGATACCAGACCGGCAAGCGCGATAAGAAAGATCCAGGCGAAAAACGGGTCGTACTTGAATACTTCTCCTTCGACCAGGGGAACAGTAGCAGGCAGGGCCTCATCCTCGGAGCTGGCCCGGCGGGCCTCGTCAAAGTCATCTTCTTGAGCAGCTTCCCTCCTCAGTGGAAACTTGCGGTCTCCGGATTTGGATTGGAACTTCTGGAAGGCGGGTGGACTCGAGTCTGTAGGCGCCTCGTTCAGCAGCGACGTAGACGGGTCGTCATCGTCGACGATCTGGGAGTCTAGCCCGATGTCGACCATTTTGGGATTCGTATCTGATTCTCGGTCGGAACTTTCTCGTGGGACATCCTCCGACTCTTCATCTATGACGTCTCTCCCACGATTCCGTCCACTGAAGCTCCTCGTACCGTTCCAACTGCTGCGAATGCCTCTCCGCAGCCCACGGTCCTGGTATCTCCGGCCGGGAGTTTCGCTGCTCTGTTCCAACGAGCCGCGGCTTGCGTCTGGTTCCGTCTCGGAGCTCTCTGCCATCTTGCTCGCGGCGGCCACGCGCCGTGACATGTGAAGAGCGGCCATATCCGCAGCATCGCGATCCCTCTCGTCTTCTTCCTCCTCCTCCATGTACTCGTCGAGCGTGCTATGAAACAGCGGCGCATCCTGGGCGGCGGACATGCGTGAAGCGAAGCCCATCTGACCGTAACGCGAACCGCCCGCCTGGTACGGGTTTCCTCCGTAACCTCTGCCGAGGAACGATCGTCCGCCATTTCGAGGAGGGGCCCGCGATGACCATTCGTTCGGATGTCGTGGTGGGTTCTCGTTGCCTTCGACTTGGCCCGCAAAGTTGGACAGCCGGGACTGTGACTGTGCCAGAAACCTGGACGCATCTGGGGGCGAGTTAGTTGGTTGACCGCCGCTGGGGGTCGCCCGGGGGTGGTGTTTCCCAGCGGTGGATGAGACTTACATTCCGAGAACATGCTGCGAGCGATAGCGAAGACCTTGTCCTCTCAGAAAAGTTCCTGTACTCTTGAGAAATGCCAGGAACGCGGGACGACGGGGCAAATAAGTCGGGCTGGTGGAGGCCTATGAATGATTATGACGGACAAAGAGTAAACGGCTGGAATGTTTTGGGTGCCGGCGGCGGCGGTGGACACTAATGCTATACGCAAACAGAAAGAGACGGGAGACGGGTCGGCGGCAGTTCCTGCGGGACGCCTGTTCTTGGACCAGGGGGAATGCCACCTTTGAGCAGGACGAGAATTTCAGATCAAAGCCGAGGTGCTCGTGAGAAGGGCATCTGCATCGGGATGTCGAAAAAGATATGAATCGCAGGTCATGCGGTACAGACGAAGGGGTGAAGGTGCCTAGGTGGGTGAGTGACTGATGGAAGTGGACCGGGCCAGTGAGGGAAGGATATGGATGGCCGGGGTGTCGTGGAAATCCCACACCACCTTAGGTAACCCAAGGTTGGTAAGGCTTTACACGCCTGTTAGGCAGCGCGGACGCTGATGCAGCCTTAGCAATGGCACACAGATGGCACACGACACCCGCGACACCGCCCACACCACACGGTACCTCAACTGGGAACCCTTCCTAAGGTACCTTACCGGGTACCTATCTCACTAACAGCCCAGCCACTCACAACGTCGTCATCCGGGGAGGCAGGGGAACGTGGGAGCCACCTACGGGCTGCGACCGGCACTCGTCGGACTTATCGAGGTGGGCGATATGGCGGTAAGTTGGCGGATGCATTGCAGCATTGCAGCATTGCAGCATTGAGGGCCCGGATTGCCTGAGAGGGCATGGCTGCGGATTGGCGGGGTCCTCCCAGTTCCAGGTTCGCCTTAGTTTGGGAACTCCGAGAAGCGCATATAGCATCGCCCAAGGTAAACGTACATGAGTTGGAGCAGGCTGCTTACCATGCCCTTCGTCACGGTTGTACTTTGGCACCTGTTCCCTTTACCCAGAGCTTCAGGCGTCGCATTTGTTTTCCGTCATCTCTCATACTGCTTGCTGCATGGCACTGACATGTCCTGGCGCGAGACCAGAGAAAGCACTTGGCCCGATTTTAAACCCGTTCCGAGTCATTCAGTCTTCTGCAGGTCAGTCATTTCCTCAAATCATCGTCAACTGACTGTCACCGCAGCTGGCCGTTGCTGTTTGTTGCAGCCCCTGCAGCCCCTGCTGCTCCCGCTGCTCCTGCTGCTCCCGCTAATGTACCTGCTAACAAGCGGCTTCATCCACCCAGGCCCTCGCCTTTCTTTACCTTACCTTATCACTCAGTACTTGCGTCACTGATAACACCATGCCACATCCCTGACGCCCTTTCCCTGGTCATCGGTCCAGTTTTAACTGGGGCTCTGTCGTCTTCTAGGCCAAGCCAGTGACAGGGGGCACCACCTTAAACATTGACCAGCGTGATGCACTCGCCAATTCCCATCAGCACATCACGTCTGATTCCACCTCTCAGAGACCTGAGCCTTTAGCTGGAGAGGGAGAACCTATTCAAACACACCCAGGTCCACTTATACTTGAGAATAAGAAGAGGTTCCATAAAGCCACCTCAAACATGGTTCTCGGGAACCACGGGGACACCGAACATTGAGAACAGACGACGTCTTTTCCAGCGTTTCCAAACATCCACTCACCTATCTAAGGTACCTACATCAATCGGAGCCGACGCCCGCCCCCCTCCCCCCCCTTGTCAGACCTGAACTTCTGAACACGTGCTCCGATAACCGACAGCTGTTTGAAGCTTTCCGACATCAGAGCAACCAACGACCATCACCATCACTACCACCAACCACACCATACACGGCCCCCTCGAATCCATCCCTTCGAAACCCTCCATCTCCAGAAGAAACGGTCTCGCGGGCCAGCCGAGGGACAAGCACAGCTGTCTTTCTGGTCACCAAAGTCACGAAACGAAACCACAGACCTCTCAGTCCAACGTCCTACTCCCTCACTGACGCACAACGCACTCACGCATCCTCCTCTCCTCTTTCTTACGCAAGCCACAATCGCCAAGGGCCATGTCGTCTCCACCATGGGACTACATCGCTAAACTCGTCTGCATCGGTGACTCGGGCTGCGGCAAGTCCAGCCTTACCATCCGTCTCTGCGAGGGCCGCTTCTCCCCGCACCACGACGTGACAATCGGCGTCGAGTTCGGCTCCCGCATCGTCCCCGTCGGCCCGCCAAACACTCTCCCGCCCCCTACCCCGGCCCCCGAAGCGTATACGAACCCGGACGGTACACCCAACGGCCTCCCGGAACCCCCGCGCCTCGCCGCCGATGGGCCCCAGAAGCACATGAAGCTCTCCCTCTGGGACACGGCCGGCCAGGAGACGTACAAGTCCGTAACGCGGTCCTACTTCCGTGGTGCCAGCGGCGCCCTCCTCGTCTTCGACCTCAGCCGCAAACAGACGTTCCAGCACGTGACCGACTGGCTCAACGACCTGCGCCAGATCGCCGAGCCCGACATTGTTGTCATCCTCGTCGGCAACAAGGCAGACCTGACCCAGGACGCCGATAACAAACGCGAAGTCACAAAGGAAGAGGCCGAGGAGTGGGCCAAGAAGAACGGCGTCTTCGAGTACGTGGAGACGAGCGCCAAGAGCGGCGAAAACGTCGAAAAGGCCTTTATGCGGGTCGCCGAGAGGATATACAACAATATCCAGGCTGGCAAGTACGATCTCAATGACAGGAGGTCGGGCGTCAAGGGGCCGAGTGCCGGGGGCAACAAGCAAGTGAGAATAGGGGGCGACGCAAATAAGGGCTCTGGTGGCGGCTGTTGTTAGACGAGCTGCACATAAGCAAAGAGACCAACGAACAAAAAAAAAAAGCATACACGAGAAGGACAGTGATACCCAAGGCCATTAGCAAGAGTTTTCAAGTTCCTTCGCATTCACCATTTGTACTACTACTTTTTTATAATCATAATGTATGGTCCATGGGCAGGTCAACTTCCGCACTTCAATATCAAAGCCGGTGAAAGATGAATATTAGGAACAAGGAACCCATTTCATATTGCATTATTTACGGAAGCCATCTCCCGTCAACTTTCGCTCTCCTTTCCCAAGCTCGAAAGGCCCATCCGCCACTGTATTTATCCCCCATATCTTTACAGAGAGAGAGAAAGAGAAAGGGAGAGAGTTGGGTAGAAAAGTCGAGTCATAATCTCAGCCGTTCAAGTACAGAATTCCGTTCAAGAATCGTCTGATACAAACTTACTCGTTGGTAAGTTTTCAGATTTAGTCCGAGATTCTCCAGCTGTCGAACCATTTCAAGTAGCTATACTGCTTGTTGGGACCGGTCATGCCGAAGCAGATAGGGCTGAAGAGAATGTAGAGACCAATGACGGTCGCATACAGGACGCCGTAGACGCCGTACTGGAAGGCCTGGGCCTTGTTGCGGAGGAACCAGTCGGCCAAGAAACCAAATGTGAGGATGGCGAAGTACAGGGCAGGGTAGTAGTGGTGAACATAGGTGACACGGGCCATGACAACGAAGGGGAGGTAGTGTAGGAACCAGCCAGCCACAGGGTACAACCCCGCGTAGTGAATCTGGTCAATCTCCTTCGAGTTCAGGTCGTTGTAGCCACGCTGCCAGCGAACCAAGTACCAGGCGACGACAAGTGCGAAGACGCCCAGACCGGCGGTAGAGCCCCAGTAGACCAGAGGGTTGCCAAGGAGGAAGTACTTGACAATGCCGTCGTCCCAGCCACACATACGCAGACCAACGTTGAGGATAGGCCACTGCCACCATTGGGATGCCAGATCGTCTTGCTTGTCGGGATCGGGCACAAGGGCGTTGTTGGAGGTCATCATGGCAACGTTAAGGTGGATGAAGTCGTGGAGGAAGGGAGACTTGTAAGAACCCGGGTCACCAGGGGGCACTGTGCCAGTTAGCAAGCTGAGTGAGAGAGCAAGGGATCATGGCTTTGACAACTTACGCTTCTCGTTCCAGTGGGCCTCGACATTCCAGTGAGTGTAAGAGTCTCTAGGGTTGTTGGTCTTGGTGCAGGTCACCTCGATCTGCTTGAAACCCCACTGAGGCAGGTTGACGTTGCCAGCCCGAAGGTAGCAGCCAAGAACCGGGTGTCTCAAGCGGAAAGCCGTCGTCAGGGTACGGATCTTGCTGCGGTCTCGAGATGCGACGTCGCGAACGACCTCCACAGTCCAGTGGTCCTTGTCGTCGCCAATGGTCAGGTTGCCGTAACTAGAAACTTCCCTGTCGGCCTTCGTCATGGGAGCAGCGATCTCGTGGGAGTGCAGGTTGCGGCCGGTCTGGGCGTGGATGAGACGGATCGTCTCGCCATCGCCAATGAAGCGGGGAGGAGCTTCGGGGTCGTAGTCCGCATCCGCGCGATTGGGGTAAAAGAACCAGTCGTTGTTGGCATCCTTGTGGTGGTAGCAAGTGACTTGCTGCTGAGTAGAGCCCTCCGGGTACGTCTGCACGTGGGAGTGAAGGAGGCCACCACCGTATCCCATGTTCTTGATGGTCGCGCGCGATCCGTACGCCACTTCCAAGGGGCTGTTCTTGCCGACCTCGGTGCCCTTCAAGTTTGCCTGGAATAAGGAGCTCATCTGCGCATCACCAGGGCCAGTGTGGTCGAGAATAGCGAAATGGAGAGCGAAGGAGAGCATGTACACCAGGAACGGGATGACGATGAGGCCAACGACGCGGGTGACGACGTGAGCGCCCAGCGTGGTGACGGGCATCTTGGTGTTGCCGAATTTGGTCCATAGATCCTCAATGGTGTAGAGGCCGACGAGGGAGGTAACGAAGAGACCGACGAGCTTGACACTGCACACGCAGCCAATGCTGATGCCAGTCATGAACAGCCAGAAGAACCACTCTGGCTCGAAAGCATCGTTGCGCTGGTTGTGGAACTTGGCCCAGCAGAGAACAGTTGCGACAGTACCGAAAAGCAGCATCGAGTCAAGGAGGATGAAGCGGCTGATGGTGGTGTATGAGTTCTCGCAAAGGACCATGAGGGTGACAAGCCAGACGGCGGGACGTCTGAGGTTCAGCTCGCGGGCAGTGTAGTAGGCCATGGGAATGCAGAGAATGCCGAAGAGAGCGTTGAAAGCCCTCATGAAGGTATAGTCGACATCCTCGGGGTATTTCTCGCCAGACTTGAACTCGAAAGATCCGTTGTAGCCAGCGAGAACACCGGAGAGGCCGACGAGCATCTTGCCCAAGGGAGGGTGAACGTCGAAGTAGTATTCATGTTTGATGTAGTGACTTCCGAACTTTCCAAAGTGAGCCTCGTCCCAGGTAACGATGTCGCTGATGCCAATCTTCCAGAGTCGGGTGAAGATGGCGGCGGCCGTGAAGATGATGGGGGCTATAATGGACTCCCAATCGTCGAGGAAGGAGCTCTGCTGGGGCAAGAGAAGTGTTAGTACTGAGCTGGTCTACAAAAATGAGCGATATCTCAAAAGGGAGACGCTTACCTTCTTGGCAAGCTTCTTCTTGTCGTCGATCTCAGGGGCGGCCGTTATGGGAACTGACTGCCCCTGGGGGACGGCTCGTCGTCTGACGCCATCGCCCACGTCTGCGCCGGACGCGACAATGGGCTTCTCGATAGCCATAGCTGTTGGTGAAACCAAGTCAGCAAACGGAAGAAGACGTATGGAATGGGTTGGCCGGGAGTAGAGACTGACTCTCGAGACGGGGGTCGGAATGCGTTGATGAAGACGGCTTCTAAGGGGGGGTGCGGGAAGGGTGAGTAGTGTAGAGTCAAGCTCCAAGAACAGGAGCTCTGAGCTCCTTGTTAAGGATCGGACGAGTCGAGACTCAAAACGCCCGGGGGCAACAAAAAAAAAGTTGGAGAATTGAAAAAAGGTAAAAGAGAAGCCGCGAAAAGAGAATCAGCGGGTTTCTCTTGAGACAAATGTTGTCTGCAAACCAAACCAGCTCATTAAAAAGAAGGTTAGGTGAGGTCAGCTGGGGAAGGAGAAGGGGAAAGCTGAAAAAGGCACCTAGAATGACCAGGGAATCATGCAATTAATATGGAGGTGGACGGGAGAGTGCCCTTTGGCCAGGTGGGAATTTTTTGGTGAGGTCTGAACTAAATCGGGAGGAGCTGGGAGCTGGGGAGGAGCACCCCCTTGCGGCACTACGAAATAAATGCCACCTATGCACCAACAGACACGGTATCCCTCCCTTCCACTCCTTCCAGAACCGACCACACTTTACGCGAATCGTGTCCCTGGGTTCAATGGCCGAGTGCCACTGGTTCGGCTGCCTCAAGCGTGTAGCACAAGGTAAGGTATGCCGCACATACCTTGGGCAGGCCGCGCAGGTCCTCTCATGGAATGGCCTGAATGGTCTTGAAAGACCCCAAATACCTAGCCCCTCCATTACCCCCTGCCCCCACAGCTGCCTACCAGGTACGGATACCTTACCCCCTGAGAGGCTGAGGTTCGACAGATGGATCCCCAGGCGGCTCTTTTCCTCTCTCTCTCCGATCATCGTCAATTCTCACTCCTACCTTCACCTTGCGTCTCGCTTCACCAACTTGGATCCTAACATCCAAGACTACCTACCTCCCTTGCAAGGTAGTATTCACGATCTACTGTATCAACTCCAGCCTGGCTCCCTGAGCAACGCCGCTCGGACGTACCTGCAGCTCTACACATTGTCTTCTTCTACAGCTGCAATGCCAGCGTCATGCCAAAAAACCAGACGACACGGTAGGTATTGATCGTTCCTTTCCCCATGGATAAACACACAGGCCATCCACCGCGTAAAATGCCACTTCACAATGTCTTGTCTTCATGACAGCTGTGGCTTCGCCATGATTTCCGACCGCGCTAACCCTTCCGGGCTGCGTAATAAGCCCCCGCTTTCGGAGCTAATCGGAAATGCCAGTGCGCGTCTTCCATTCAGTCTCCGTCGGCGTTGAGCAGGAGAGCATCGGCCGTGGTGTGGGCTCCATCTCGGCGAGTCGGGGAGTCAACGGCGGTGGAGGCCTGCGCCGTGCAGGTCGCTGCTACGGTGCCCCAGCAGGGCAGCATCCGGGGAGCACGTGAGAGGTTGGCTTCACCATCACCGACTTCCTTGACCCGACTAAGAGAGTGTTGTCACGTCGCGTCTTACATCTTGTATGACGGTGCACGAAGCCTTCATTGGCCTACCTCTCACCCAAACAAGTAAAGACCGGGTAGACCTGATTTGTCGCCGGCAGTCGCCATCGTGGTGTTTCTTCAGAGAAAGAAAAAGGGGTCGCAGCTTCCGCCCACCTCAGACACTGGACCAGTCACCACCGCCTGGGCGCGGTCCATCTGCCTTGCCGAGTCAAGCCTCTGCAGCAGCATACGCTGAAGCCCGCATGCGGAAACGCCAGACAGCTGCATCACATGTCTTTTTCGTCTCAATTCTCGTCCACTCCGTGCTGTTTTCCCCCTCCATGGCTGGTCCCGGTCTGATCCATAACACATGGTCGGCACAGACAATCGTTGCTCACAATCGCCCCATTGCGGTGCTGATGTACAGGTCCCAGACTCTCCGACACCTGACCTACCTACACTGTAAGGTAACTCAAAGACACCTCAGGTTTCTCTTTCAAAAGTAAATCCCCACTGCGTCCACCATTCTGAACCGTCTCCGCCGACGCCGCCGACGAGACAGAGCGGATCGCATTAGGGGTCTCGGCCGTCTTATGTCATCGCTCCTGCATCCAATCGTCCGGTCCCGTACCACATCTAGCACCACCAACCACCACACTACTACTACAACAACCACCACCACCACCACCACCACCACCACCACCGGTACTTCAAATATCCTTCCCGCGGCGCCCCGAACCAACCCTCACCTTCCCTCCTCTCGATCCTGTGGCCCTGGATGTGGCAGACTTCCCCTGCTGCGCGTCCCTCTCTACAAATCCGGCTCGGTCCCCCGACTCAGACCTCCGACGACACCTACCTCTCAATGTCGTCCTTGGTATCCGACTTCCTCATCAATCCGGTCCTCCGGCAAGCTCGTCGCTTTTCTGAGATCTCGAGAACAACCTTTGTCTCCGACCGGGACTCTTCGTCCGATCCTGTCGCCGTCGCAAGCGACTTGGATAGTCCCGCAACCCGGCATGCGACAGATGCGCCACTCGAACCCACTCCGCAACGATCACTCGACCTGACAACACTTCCGTCAACCGTCGACGACGAGCGCCCTCAGTCTCCCGCTCCCCAAGTCCCACCCGCGCCATACACAGTGGTCGTGATGCCGCCTACAACACGGGAATCTCTGCCCGCCGACGACGGCATGGGTGCAATGCGAAAGCGTCTACTCGATATTCAGTCTCAAGATATCGCTGCAGATGAAAAGGCCCGGCTTATGCACGAAGCTTTGATGGAGGGGTATCGCAAGTCTCGAGACGCCCCACGCCAAGCCAATGCTCCAGCCAGCATAATATCCGCAGGGGAAGCATGGGAACAGTCGTTGCCCATGGCACCTCTCGAATCGTTAAAATTTTGGCAACATTCGATAGGAGAGCCGTCCTCTCCAGGAAGGTTCATTCTGACCGCCGACGATGTTCGGCCCACGTACGCGGCACCAAAGCTTGCGACAAGGGAAGAGCCCGAGGGTGCTGTGATTCTTGGCTGCCAACATTACCGGCGCAATGTCAAGCTGCAGTGCTCGACCTGCTCCAAGTGGTATACTTGTCGTTTCTGTCATGATGCAGTCGAGGATCACACTCTTGTCAGGAAGGAAACCAAAAACATGCTATGCATGCTCTGCGCCACGCCCCAGAAAGCATCCGATGTCTGCGTGAATTGCGGTGAGACCGCAGCTCGTTATTACTGCAACATGTGTAAGCTGTGGGATGATCATCCGTCCAATCCAATCTACCATTGTAACGACTGCGGTATATGCCGGCGCGGAAGAGGTATCGGGAAGGACTTTTTCCATTGCAAGGTACTTGGTCCACTCCCAGAGATTTTGTTTGACCGCTGCTAACACGTGCTTTAGAAATGCTGCGCATGCATCTCGATTTCCATTCAGCAATCTCACAAATGCATCGAGCGCTCAACGGATTGTGACTGTCCGATATGCGGAGAGTACATGTTTACCTCTCCCAAGCCAGTCGTGTTCATGGGATGTGGTCACAGCATTCACCAGAAGTGCTATGACGAGCATATGCTGAGATCATACAAATGTCCCATTTGCAACAAGAGCTTACTCAACATGCAAAGCCAATTCCGCCAATTGGAGCTGGCCATTCTTGCCCAGCCGATGCCCCCTGAGTTCAGGGACACTCGCGCCACAATCTTGTGTAACGACTGTAGTGGGAAGAGTTCCGTCCCGTATCACTGGCTCGGTCTCAAATGCGCGATTTGTACTTCTTACAACACAGCGGAAATTCAAATCAACGGTGGGAGAGAAGAGACGCAGGCCGCTCATGGCACACCAGCGGCAGTTACGCCGGCCGTTCTTTCGCCTGCACAGCCCACCTCCGTGGCAACGCAGGTTGCTGCTCCGGCTGGAATAGACATACCGCATGTCGGCAGGCGGCGACATTCGTCTCATGCAGGCCCAGAGGCACGTCATCTGATGTTGGATCGCTTTGCTCGGTCAGCTTCGCCAGCAGTTACGCCCGGTATGCCACTACCGAACGCGACAGATGCTGCTATCGAAGAAGAAGATGAGTCAGAGAATGATATTCTCAATTTATGGGGCCGGGATCATGATGACTCTGATAGCGATACGATGTCGACGGACCTGGACGAAGAAGAGTCGGAGGGTGACGATGACGATGACTATGAGAACGAGATCATGCTCATCGGACATCGATAACGTCAGTCATGATGCAATCACGATTTGGACGATGAGGTGCATCTGCGAAAGAAGAATACAAAGATTGGCGCACTGGGGTTTGCGACGGTCACATGGTTTTGGACATACGGGTCGTCAGGGTAATCGCAGGCATACTAGCTGGTTGGTTATGGACTAGTCGGCGTTTTCAGGATGGCAAAGTCTGTCAGCCTCGGATGGCACTACTGGGTTCTTTTTCATAGCTCGCGGAGACTGGGCATTACTTAAGTTTCCATAATAGACAAAACTGAAAATGTTAAGCAACGCAAATGCCTGAAACGCCTCATGTCCGTGGTTCCCATCCGTCTTGCCTTGTCGTGACTTTCGTACCCATTTTTACTGCCTTGGGGATGACCTCATCTTAACGCCTTCGAGATGCAATTTGAGCCTCAACCTCCTGAGACTCCTTTCTGAGCTCCTTCACGACGGTCTATTGCGAAGGTTTGATCAGGGTCGTGACTGCGTAAGGCTTGATGTTTCATCTACTCACTGCAAGAGCCTCTGGGTTCACGCCATTCTCGATCATGGAGATGCAAATCGAGAGGGTGCGCCGGTCGAGGTGGCAGTTCTTTCACATGGTCATGTCAGAATGATTTGCTGAGGTGTGGGATTTTGAGAGGTTGACCGGGCGTCGCAACTGACTAGGATGGTAGAGATCTCATGTAGGATATCAACAGCCTGCTGGGCCGCGGCCTGTTTCCCGCTGCGGTCGTCGGCAGGCATTTCGTATGGCGATTATTGCTGGACACAAGACCGTATGAATGAGATGAGGTTCATTGAAAGGATGTCGCTTTGTTTGGCGGAAGCGGGGCCACCTCAGTGAGTGATGGGAGCCCTTCTGCCTGTGAGGTGCATGTGTGTCTTAAGGTAGTCGGCAGGGGCCGAAGCTGCCCCTCCGGAAAACGCGTCTGGAGAGTGGCTCCGACGCGCTGGACGAACTCTGGTTACAAAAAATGGCAGGGGTCGGCTGGGCTAAAGTACCTAAGTAGACAACTAGGTACCGGAAATGGGGTCCATTCTTTTTGTGAGGCCTCGACTGACCGAACTTTTTTACTTTTTTAGTTCACCCAGCCTTCAGTTGCTGTCTCACTTTTTGGCTCACCGTCATGATCTCGAATTTGCTGCAATAGTCAGCTCGTGTTTTCTAACGGCTGTGTTCTTGGGGTTTTCATTTCAGTAACTAGGCATCCATCCACTCATTCATCCGCATGACCTCGAATTGACAACAGCCCGTCCGGCTTCTTTTTCACCCTTCGCATGATGAAGCACACGCCACCGCCTTCTCACGATATGCCCAGTTTCCCACGAATACATTGCTTAGACTTACGGGAAACGAACGGGTCTAATGGCTGACGCACGGGAAGAAACTAGCCGCTTATATGGCCCCCCGAAAATTACTATTGTCCCTCATGAGGGAATTGAGGATGGACCACCTCAACTGCACATGAGCCGGGTGCCAGGTCAAGGTGAGCGCATCGGCGAATTCGGGTTCTCACATCGCTGACCTCTCGACAGCTCAAGCTCTTCGGATCATCCAGCCTCCTGAGTCCCTTTTCCCTGCCTCAAGGTCTGCGGAACTGGCGCCTTCTTCGACAGTTTGGGGCTCCCAGCGAGTGCAAAGGCGATGGCTGTTCAACGCCCATCCAGAGGCTTTCGTGGGCAGCTCTGAAACTGCTAGCTATCTGTCCGAAGGTCTCGCCCAGCTTGTGCGGCCGGAAGCCTCACCCACGACTCAGCCACTTTTGGCGATCAGTGAGATGGCGGATGTCACCAACCACACACGAGTTGTATCCGTCCCCGTTCTCGCCATGGCTGCCGGCGAGTCTGGCGAACTTCTTCGTCTGTCCAAGATTGATGAGACAAACTGGCAATGGGGCGAGAATGAAAGTCCGACGCTTCGAATGCTCAGCATCGACCAGCACGACAAGGAAGAATCTGTCTTGTGGTCAAGTGACGGAGCCCCGATTCTGCAGATCAAGCCTGCTCTGAGCTTGGTCCGGTTCGAACCGACGAGGTGGTTGCTGGTGCAAAAACGGACTTCGACTACGATCCTCCAGCCGGACTACCACAAGGTACCTGTCTCAGAACGCCCCCCTGGAGTTGATCAGGCTATCGAGCGCCCGTCTCGAATCAACCCGAGACCCGTCCTCACTATTTACTCAGAACAGACTGGCGGCTTCGCGCATTCTGATGTGTCTTTCAGCTACGGCTCCCAGAGAAAGCCGCCTCAGGTGGCCGTCATAGACGAGTGCGGGTACTACAGCGTCTGGGATGTCAAGGGTCGAGACATGGTAGGATCCAACGGCATGCGCCCGAAGCTCCGCCATTGCGGCCACATTCACTTGGGCGTTACGGAGCAGCTCCCCGACGAGGACTCGCCAGCTTTCCGCACAGAGCCTCATGGCGTGATGTGGATCGGTGCGGCCGGCCCAGGTGTTGACCTCTGGGATGTCCCCACAGGGCAAGACATCGATGTGGGAAATGACCTGGCTGCCCTGACATCGAGGTCCAAGAAGCTCGCCATCTGGAACCGCGCAAAATTCGAGGTCATTGATGTCAAAGACCCGGCGTTCCGAAAGAGCTTGGCCGTGCTCAAGACAGACGAGCCAGACTACATCCTCGACGTGAAGCCAAATCCACTGAATAGGAGTCAAATCTTCATCCTCACCAGCTCGGGTTTCTTCTGGATTGAGACGTCGTCTTCGGGGACGACAGCCAACAAAGCAGGCGGTCTCACAATTCTGCAGTCCTTTGCACACCTCAGGGGCTCGGATGCCGACACACTGAGACTCACCGTTCACCACGGCGGCTCTGAGGCGGGAAACCAGAAGTGCACGGTTTTTCTCTACTCTGAGAAATCGCCAGAGGTAGATGTCTACTGGTTCTATATGCCTGAGGAGACGGGTTTGCCACAATTTGAACACCACATAATGAAACTCTCGGGCAACCCCGCGAAGCTTCAAACTCTGTGTCCAGTGCCTGCTTTCCTGAGAAACCCCTTTCCTGCAACAGCCAAAGGGCCAGGCTTGGAGTACCTCAATCATGAGATCAGATTTCAGCAACTATTTGTTCTCGGCAAGGACCTCAGCTTGAGTCAGAGCCTCTTTGCCATCTTAGCCGGCCCTGATCTTGAAGTGGTGCCTCCCGATGGCAGTCGCGAGTGGTCAAGGGACGGGCGTAGACAAGCCCATAACAAGAGGCGAAGGCAGTTCCTGCAGCATTTTGAGGGCACTTTTGTAGTTCCCGATGGACTGGGTGATATGGACGAACTAGTGCAGCGTCGCGCCAATCGATACCAGGAGCTTATGGACAATGCGCTGGCAGGAGAGGAACCACGGCTTCAGCAGCGGTGGCCTCGGAGTCTCAACTTGGACCAGTTCATATCTCGCGTCAATGTTTCGATAAAATCGGTCATCATGGCGTCAGAGCAAGCTACTATCGAGGGGCCTCTGTCTGTATTCGAGGCCATACGGGAAGCGGCCGCCAACTGTCTCGAGACTGAGGGCGGATACATCCCGTTGCACACTCTGTAGGTTTGGAGGGTTAGATTTTTACGTCTTTCGTGTACTAACAGGTGCCAGGCACGAATACGAAAACGCCTTTGAGCCACCTCCTGTATCCCACGAGGCAATAGCAGCGTGGGACGCTCGCTTTCAAGAGCTGATTAGCTCGCAGAGCGATCGCGTCCTCGCTCAACCTCTCACCACACAATTTCTATACCGCGGGGAAACTTCGTCGCCCCTGGCAGACATTCGCGACCAGCTAGAAAACCTGTGGAGTCCGGCAGGTCTCCCGCCTAGAGCGCAGCAATCACGCAGCGTCGTGCTGGCTGAGACGGCCGAGGCCATTGCTAGATCCCTCTTTGGTGTTGCCGTACTCGACGCAAACCTCCCCACCGCAGAAGACGAGGCTCCTACCTGGGTTCCTGAACCACCGCCGCAGATCATCCGGCAACCGAGTCAACGATCAAGTCAGCGATTTTCATCGTCGCCTGCAAAACGAAGCCAGCTATCGTCAAGTCAGCGACTCTCGCTCTCACCAACCAAGCTAAGCCAACCTCTCAGCCAGAGAATCTCGCTCTCGCCGACGAAGCGCGGCCAAGCCATCAGCCACCGCCTATCCTTCTCGCCCTCCAAGGGCGCCCGCTCCCAGCCCTTCGAGATCCCCTCCTCGTCATTCCCCTTTTCATCCTCGGGGCCCCTATTCTCCCAGTCCTCCTCCGCCGCCGCATCCTCCGCAGACGCTACACCCACAACCGCGACCACAGCCCTCCAGCGCCTAAGCATGCTCGCCGAAGATATCAATACCTCGGACCCGCCCGCCCGCCAGCACCGGGTCCTCACCTACTGGCCAACCGCCCGTGGCGTCAGCACAGAAGGCTACGTCTCCTCCGTCCTCGCCTCCTCGACAAAGCACATGGACGTCCTCAACGAACGCCGTCACCGCGCCGAGTCCCGCCGCCGCAAGCGCAGGTCGCAGTTCTTCGGCGAGACGCAGGGGGGGACGACGGCCACACAGAGCGAGATGGACGATGTTTTCGACTCGGCGAGGCCAGGGCCTGCAACCACGAGCGGTCCAGAGTTCGCGCCGCCGCCGCCGCTGCTGCTGCTGCCGCCCGCAACGCAGCCCCTGCCCAAACTGGCGCCGCCCATCATCGGCTCGAGCCAGCTTCCGCCAGTGCCGTCTTCGCAGGCCATCTTCTCGTCGCAGGTGCCGCAGGTCATGTCGCAGCCCATGTCTGGGAGGCACGGGATGCGGTCGCCGGGCAAGAAGAAGAAGAGAAAGTCTGGTTTCTAAAAAGGGAAAAATCACGACCTGGGACTTGGCTAGGGAAGCATATTACCTTGGATCATTTGTTCGCGTTTATTATTTTGTTCTTCACCAGTGCTGCGCCGTGTTGGAGAAAGACCATGATCCTATACCCCCATTTTTTGGATGATGAGCTACTACTTCTCAGCTCGATGCATATTAATATCAATCAACCACTTGAATCCTCTCACGTTTATTTATCTCGCTTCCCATGATTACCACGTCCGCGTCTCCGCCATTCGCACAAGACCTACTGCCGCCCCCCAATCCCACTACCAACATCATTGATCCCCGTGCCCTTGATCTTATGATCACTAGGATTCGCCGCCGCCTCGTACAAGATATTCGCCGGCGCGCGGCCCAGCTGCATCCACTCGCCCTTGAACCCCAAATAACTCACGCGCGTCTCATCCTCGTCGCCATCGCCAAAGTTGTCCACGAAAAAGAGCGTCAGGCGCTGGACCCTGCCAAACAGCGCGCGCTTGACGGGGATCTCCTGCACTTGCCCCGTGCGGGAGAGCTCAAACTCCTGGGTCGCGGAGGCGTCCTCGGCGGAGGAAAAGTCGAGGTCGTCGCGGTTGATAAAGACTTTGAGGGTGCGCGGGGCCGAGGGGGAGTCTGAGGTGCGCAGGAGGAGGGCGTGGAGTTTGACTTGGCCGGTGAAGCTTGGGGGGCGGTTGGTGTTAGCGGGCTGGTTTTGGGTGTTGAGGGGCGGTGGGAAAGTAAAGATGAAAGTGAGATTAAATATGAAAGATATTGTGCATAAGTTGAATGAAACTTGTGACATGATTGAGACATAAATTAGAGAGCACCTTCATGAATTTCATATTTGTCAAGACCACAAGAATCATTGAGGAGTCCCAGTAGAGCAAAGTTCATAAAACAGACACCGACACAGAAATAGAGATGGTCACTCACGGGACATTGACCAATAACTGCTCATCAGCATCGCTAACGACCTCAGGCTCGTCGTTCAGCCTCTCGACCCACGTCTTCTTGACGACGGCCCGCGTGCTGCCAATCTGCGACTCGTTGAGGGCCGTCACCTCGTCAAAGTTGATGTGGCCGTACAGTGAGTGCTGCAGGGCCGGGGTGATGTCGTCCGAGTGGTCGTGCTCATCGTGACCACCGCCGTGGCCGTGGTCATGGTGCTCGTCGTGGCAATGCGACATGATGTTTGCTGTAGTGTTTGGTGGTGACGATGGTGGGTTTTTGGAGGGGTCGATGCTTTAGGTGGACGGGTACGTCTTTCCGGGGGGTAATTAGGTTGTTTATTGATTCCCCGAGTGATTATTTGGTTTCTATCTCCCCCTGCCCAAAGTTTTCGGCCAGGTCCTGTATAGGGAACCCGTTTAGGTATCGAAGACGTGGGTGAGAGATGGGAGATGAGTCGGTATTGTTTGCTCGATGATGGTGTGGATGAGGAAGTGCAGTGAGAAACGGCCCCCCACTTTTATCGACCTAGATGGTTCGGCGCCGGGTCCGTGATTGGCCAGGCCGCCGCCGCTCCTCCGACGTCGAGGTCGGCTGCCGCGCCGTTGATGAAATAGCGACTTGCCTCTTCAGCAAAATACATGTGTTGTAGATGGTAGAAAGCTTTTGGTTTTCATTCTTCAAATCTCTGGGAGAAGTTGGAGGCCCTTGCATCAAAGAAGGAGTATTCAACCGTTTGTTGTTTGCTCGTCCTCCGAGAGCAAGTCCATCGGCTACGGGACCAGGAGAGATGTCGACCATAAATCCCAACCTCGTGCTTGTAGCCTCTTACTTGCAAAAGTGGGAGCTTCGCTACGTTCAAATTCATACAACACCCAAGTTGCCTCTAGATTATGCGGCTCATTGATGAAGATTATGCCACTCAGTCTCAAGTCGTGTTCAGATTGGAGGTAGGAGCCTGACCAAGCGTTCAAGCAGTCGGTTCTATATGTTTTCTCAGAACCGACTTACATATGTCTCATTATGTAGCTAATTCATACCTATCAGTCACAGATATTATTTCCTGTTTAGTCCTATACTGTACTCTCCGTTGTAACAGCACCTAACCGTCACTGAAAGAACTCACTTATCCCAAGCCTTTTCGGCTTCGGTTTGCAACGCGTAACCATTATCTTTGCCAATTGATGTAAAATATTGTTTAGCATTATATATCCTCACGAGTTGAGGTAAACATGATCTGCATGCCACCACAGACTCAATGGGATACGACTCCCTCTCTCTCTCAAATCCCCAATTAATATCCCATGAAACATCTCCTTTCGAACCCAACTTCCAAGACAAACCCTCAAGACCGTCTGCGCCTCGCCATAGAAGCAACCTCCCCATCCCTATCCACACTCTCATCCACAAACCCAAACCGCTCGTACAGCAGCGCGCCCGCCTTACTCGCGTCAACATACGCCCCAACCCCATTCTCGTCGGCAAGCTCACACCCCCACCTGAGCAACATCGACGCCGCGCCCCGCCGCTGATAATCCGGGTGCGTCACCAGTGTGTCGAGATCTAGTTTCCTCCCCGGAAATCAATCAGTTCAACATGATCCCCTCATCGTAGTGTGTCTTTACCCCAGAACAAAGTCCCCAGAAAGCCCAAAGGGCCCTGTATGTGTAATGCAAGGGAAACGGAAAAGAAAATCGTCTACAAAACCAAAACTCACAATAATGTCTTTCACCCCCCATGACCCTCTCCCTCTCTGCCTCCTCCCCCGCAAAAAACAAATCACAAACTTTCCCCGGCATATCCCCCGCCCAAGGAGGGTATCGACGGCCCCTCTCGGAAGGCATACTCGTATCCCACTTGGCCCACGCCGCGATCCTCGGCCTGCCTGCCTTACCCCCTCTCCCGTCCGTCGCCGCCTTTATGTCTCCGGTGCTTGTGTCAACAACCTTGATGAACCGCTGAAACGGCTTCTCCCACATATCCCCGCGATTCGCCGTGTCCCACCAGGCGCGCACGCTCGGCGTATCGGGCCAGAGGCGCCGGATCACGGCGTCGTCAGCGAACGCCGCGAACCAGGTCTCCGTCAGAGCGGGGACGTCTTCCGGGGTGGCTTCCTCGAGTCTGAGGGTATTCGTCTTTGCTTTCATCGTTTCCCTTTCCTTTTCCCTTGCGGATATGAAAAATATATTGAAGATGGTGGGAGTATGGTTTACAATGATTTACAAGTCTTTGGCCATGAAATAAGATAGAGAAGAGATGAAAGATGGTGCTGACCAGGCCAGTAAGCAGTATGGCAAATGCGGGGTTTGCATCCTGTCGATCAGGGATGGACAGGTAACACTATCGAAACTCCCACATGGTTCGTGTTGGCCAATTTTAGGCTCAAATCTCATTTCACGATTATCGTATTCGTCCTCACCTAGTACTCAGTCTACGACTGTTCTCTGTAATGAATGATCTGAAAATGAGTGCCTGCCAATCCTTATGCCTCCAGGAAGCTGATAGATGCGCAGGGTACCAAAGATAGCACGTCTTGTTGTCATTACGTGAGAGGGTCGCAATTTTGATCCGTACTCTTCTTGGCATGGTCGATTTCAATGTTGCTGAAATCGCTGGTAGTAGACACAAAACTTATGTACAGAAACAGTCCAATGAAAAAGCTCCTGGTTAACAACAAAATACGCAAAAGTGCTCGCTGACGCAGTGTTTGGCGACCCGAGCATCTTTGTTCTGCAACACTTCTATTGACCCAGCACAGCATCCTCGTTTTTTCCCACGCCCGTCTCAAACGTTGAAAGGAAATATAACCCCGAGCTTTCAACCGTTTCTTTACTATCCAGTCCGGGAGGCCTGCGACACCAAGGAGAAAGTTGCCACCGTCTATATGCAAAATACCGTCTAAACGTGTTGAGTCTCTTGTGCGCTGACCCGTCTCAATCATCTTGGTTACCCAAAGGAGCGTATCTACCGCTGCCGCTGCTGCTTTGGTCCCGTGTACGACCAACAACCCTTGAGACCCATCCACTAATGGTGCTGCTCGCCTCACCATCCTGGCCCTTGCCGTCAGGAATGTCAGGAGGGTCGAGAGACAGGCCGGGGATGGCGTTGCTGGCGGTAAAGTTGCCGGGCCGTCCGCGGTAGTCAATGGATCCCACGGGAGATCCGGGCATGAGCGAGTCGTTCTCGCGACCATGCAGAGAAGGCGTCCCAATAACGGTGCTGGCGTCGCCAAAGAGAGAATCCATCTCCTCCAAGCGAACACCACAGGTTTCGGGATAAATGAAGTACACTGCGTATATTTGTTAACAATCAAAATCCAGCCCGGACACGAAGGACGCAACTCACCAACAATAAAACTAACTGCACAGAAGAAGGCGTGTAACAGATACAAACGCCACTTGATCCACTCCTGCAGAAGAGGCGTCATTTCTCCGACGAGCCAGTTGAATGCCCAATTGGTTGCCGTCGATAAACTGGCACCCTTGGAACGAATGCTCAGAGGCAAAATCTCCGGAGGGTAGAGCCAAGGGATCGGGCCCCATGAGTATCCGAACGCCGCGTTGTAGATCATGACGAAGATGACGACCAGGGTGGGTGTATACGTGATATCGAGGTAAAGCCAGTACGAGATCATCGACAGCGAAACACACATGACAATGGCACCACTCAGCAGGATTGGTCGGCGACCCCATCTGTCAACCAAGTACCACGGGGGAATGGTCGAGAGAAGGTAAGTAATGCCGTTCACGCCAGCCATGAGGACGGCGTCATGACCAACCCAGCCGGCTTGTTCGAAAACGTACGGAGCGTAGTAGCTGATAACGTTGATACCATTGAGCTGTGCGAGACCCTGGGCCGACATGGCAATGAAGACACGGGTACTGTACTTGCGGAACATTTCAGCATACGTCCTCTCGCCCTCCTGTCGCTGGAGAAGGACGTTCATCTTAATTTCGCGGTACTCGTCTCGGGCCTTTTGGTTGTGGATGTCACCCTTGCCGTAGAGGTTGGCAATGACAACAATACCCTCCTCGTCATGGTCGTTGTCGAGGAGCCATCTGGTCACAAGTCAGGATCGCACACGAACAATCACGGCACGCAAGAGACCAACCTTGGAGACTCTACAATGACCAAGCTTCCGAAACCGAGAAGGGCTCCCATCACGCACTGCATCAAAAGAGGAATGCGCCATGACATATCACTTTCGATAAACCCGCAGAAGTAGTCAACCCAAACCGAGGTGGTGTAGCCGATGATGTTGCCGGAGAACTCGATGCAGGCAAGCTTTCCACGGTTATGGGGAGGGGAGATCTCGGACTGATAGACTGGGACGATGGTAGACAAGGCACCAACACCCAGACCAGCAATGATTCTGCCCAACATCATCATGGGCATGCCGTTGGCGAATGTCTGCAAGGCACCACCAACGAAGAAGATCATGGAGCCATATAAAATAGTCTTTCGTCGACCGATGATATCGCCGACCTTGCCAACGACCAGAGATGAGATAAAGGCACCAACCTCGAGGATAGCAACCATGGTACCAATCTCAGCCGACGAAGGCTGATGGAAGTAGTTGCGGAAGTAGGTACCCCTGTGAATTGTATCAATTAGCTGCGGTGATCGAAGAGACGGGTAGCTCGCGAGGCAGTGGACGTACGTGATGATGCCTGACATGACACCCTGGTCATAGCCGAATAAGAAGACTCCCAAGGAGACGAAAATACTCGTGAAATAGCTATTGAACGAATGTCAGTCAACTGGTCTCGCGATAAGGGGGTTCCGGAAGGGTAGGACAAACATCAGGGCCTTGCCAGTGAGGCCATGAATAGAGGAACCGCCCGGCATGATGGCGCCGATGACTCGCTGCGCGCGAGTCGGACGAGGTTGGGCGATGTCGGGAACCTCGATTGCCTCCTTATTAACACCTCCACGACGGCTTGGTGAGGTATTGCGCCTGCTTGGAGACTCTTGGATGCGAACACGCTTCTTCTTGGAAGACTTGTGGGAGGGATGCCTCTTGTGAACGCCGGCTAGCAGCTCGTCATCAACGTCGCTGGGCAGCTGGGTGCGAAGGGGATCTTGGTCGTCGATAAGGTCGGCAATGTCCCCAGTGTCGGTCCAGGAATCGGACTCGGAACCGAGAGAGTCCTCAGATGACGAGTGGCCGTGGTGATTGTGTTTATCGCTGCCGAAGTTGTGATGTTGGCGGTGGTGGGAGGAGGAGGAGGAGGTGTGGTGGTGATTGTGATCACGGTCACGGGCGTGGTGTTGGTCGTCCCGATCAGATGCAAGCAATGACGTCGCTTGCTCGTGCTGGTCTGGATGTGGCCGGGACTGCAGGGTCCGCAATGGGATGTTGGACGGGAGACGTCTGCCGTTTGAAGAGGGAATCTTGGGCGGTTATGGGGCTGATTAGCAGCAGCACCCTTCCGCTCTAAGAGGAATTGAGAAGGTTGGGGGGTGGAAGGGAAAAGAATGTCTAAAAGACGACGACAACTGGCGGGCAGCGAGTCGAGTCGGGTCGAAAGGTGACGGACGGTTCGAATTGGTGCTGGTGCCGGTGCCGGTGCTAGTGCGTGTCACTGGTGCGTGTTACTGGGTGCGGCAAGCTGGCCGAATCAGCATGTGTGTACAGAGTACAGGTCAGGTAGTGTTGGATGATACCTTAGTCCAATCCACTCCCCGGTGCAGTGAGAGACTGGTTCAGTGGGACAGGGAAGGGGAGCTCCCTTACCTAGGTATGCGTACGGGCGGGCTGGCCGTGAGACCGCTGGGCAGGTAGCTTGGGTGCTTGGTCCCAATGTTGGATTTTGGGGAATCTGGGAAGGCGATTGATTGGGGAGCAAACCGATGCCTGCTATTGGTGCTACCGTTGCTGCCGGGGAGAGGGGAGCCTGGAGGAAGGAGGACGGGTGTGGATGTGGTTGGGCTGGAAGAAGGGGGGGGGAGGGCGCAGGCCAATACAAGTCCCAGGCAGACAGGCTGGCAAGGCAAGGCGAGAGAGAGGGAAAGACACGGCAGGGGGAGACTGCCCGAGAGCAAGAGACAGGCGGCGCGAGTCTGGCTTGGTTGGGGCCCTTGGGGGTGGATGCCGTCGATGCAACCTCCTGCACAGTGACACACTGTTTTTCCGGGAAGCCTGTGAAGAGCAAGGAAACCGCTTGTTGGGGCCCACTCTCACTCGGTTGTAGCTTGTGCGCTGAGCAGCAATTGTGGATCACCGCCGACCGGTGCAAGAATAGGTATGTAGCTGAGGACGGTACTCTGTATCCTGGTAGTGGGATTCCAGAGAGATCAGATGTCTCCTCTTCTTGTTGTTCAATGCCAGTATCAATATCTCTCAATGCTTTCGAAAAGAACGAGGGAAAAAGATGGAGGGACAAGACTGAAGTCAAGGAATCCTGGCCTGGGGGGAATTCTTTCTTGCTGATAGGTACCGATGAGAAGCAGATGACCAGCAAGATGGGAGCCAACCTTGTTCCTTCAGGCTTGCCGTATCCTCTTGATACAGGGTGCAGCTGGCCAAGGGGCACAATGAGTACAGGCCGAACAGTACCTTAGTAGCGCGCGAGTCCACCTGAATGATGCCTTTACGCAACGGTGCAGCAGAAGCGATGCCGCGATGGGGAAAACGGGATGCAAGAGGCAGAGAGAACACTCCACGTCGTTGTCCGAGTTCCTCCTAGGGTACGGATAGCGTCTAACGGGTTTGAGGCAATGTGCCCAGTAGCGCAGATCTCCCTGACCCTTTGCGGCCTGCCTTGGCACACAGAGTCGATACAGCAAGCAGCAGTAGATGGATTGACTTAGGGGGCTGGGAATGCGAACCAGTGCCGATGACGAAGACGATGAGGACCGTAAACGGGTTTGCTGCTGGTGCCCGTCTGGATGGTACGATAAGGTACGTCAGGAACCAGATACGGAAGAGTACCTTAGAAAGAGCAGATAGTAATGGCAAGCATAAAGCGAGAGGGTCAACAAACGATCATGCGCTGAGTATCAAGTCGCGTCGCGGGTTGCGTCGAAAAAAGGAGTGTCAGATGGTCTGGAGGAGGAACCAGGCTGCAGAGGCTGCTCGAAAATAGGTCGTAGAGTGAGAGAAAGGTAGTTGTGCTTGTGAGCCTCCTTTGGGGGACGCGCAGGATGGGACAGGACGGGCACGAGACCTCCTTTTCTTCCGGCTGGACACCGAGAACAGATTTCTGTCCTCAGTCGCTGTTCCCCTTAAATGAGGATTATCCGACTCTGACGCAGGGGTTCGGGGGAGCCAAGGGAAGGGGATCTGGGAACTCTGGAGGCTGCGGACGGGACGGCCTGTCCAATACGATTACCAGATGGACAGATTACCTCCTTCTCACTCTTCACAGGCCGAAAGGCTGAAGCCAGCACTCCGTATCAGTCAGGTAATTACTGCGACGGGAAGCCACTATGGATCTATGGAAACTATGGGAACTGAGGGAGGCTCATACCTTAAAGATTGAGGGACCACTCAACTCCAGACCCGGACCTTCCCTCACAGATTCCATTTTTAATTCCACCAGCCGGCCCCATGCCTTGCAGACACAAACACAAGCCATCTGGGGCCACATTATTCATCCCATACTATGATACTGCGCTCACTCGGCACGCTGCTCTTGGCCGCCTCAATTCAGGAGCTTTACGTACTCTCTCACACTCCGCTTTACGCACGCTCAACGTGAGTCCATCGTCTTCCTGGGCTCCCCGAAGAGTGACCTCGCACGTGAAACCGTTTGCTGACTCGATTGGTGGGTCGTTCCCAAAATCCCGAGGGAAAGGATCATCGGCGTGCCGTCGGGCTTTCGGACCAAACGAGACCGCCCCCAAATCTTGTCATCATAACCAATCCCGTATGTGGATTCGTCGTCGTCGAATTGTGGCCCGTCTGCATCCGTACTCTACAGCTCTGCAGAGCATCAATCGGAACTTTCCTTTCCATGAGGCTTGCTCTCTCCCGTTGAAGATCTTCCCGGCCCGGGTAGACTGTCCCCCGGTGCGGCTCGCACACCCTTATGGACCATTCCACGGCCGTGGATTTGTCGTGCCCTTTTCCCCCGGGCGCCATCCCGCTGCCGTGTCCCAGCACAGGCGTTTCGCGACACACTCTCCACGGTTCCGTGGGCCGTGGCAAGAACACACGGCCCCGTTTATGACGACGATGCCGAAAACCGTCAGTGCTACGGATACAAAGGACCCACAACGGTGATTTGCCGTCGCAACCTGCTCTTCTTCCCGCGCCGTCAAAACATTGACGTCATTTTCTGGGGACCGATTCGAGAAGCAAGAGGGTTCATCCTGCCACGACTGCCTTTACCCCAGACGATGCAGCCGCAAACCCTCTTGCGTCTATACTTAATGTGACAACCATCGTAAATCTCGGACCTGGGAATTCAGATTGGCAGTCGCAGTAGAACATGGCCAACCTTTTGGTGTGACCACCTGACACACTGTTGCATGGACTGATCGACGAGTCAAAAGTCGCGGCCACGCATGCACGCGACAGCAGACAACAATGCACTCCTCCTCCCCACTAAGCAGAACTGACGAGATTGGCCCTGTCTCGACAAATACCCTGAAAATCGAATAATAACCAGGCTTAGGTCCCTGACTGACTTTCTCCACTTGGTGAAAACTGCGGTCCACACAATGTGCCTAATCTGGAGAGAGCTGCGTCCATGGCTACAATGGGCCTCGTTTTCCAGTCATCCATCTTCGTACGAAAGTCTGCATTGGAAGAGCGGGGATCATTCCTTTCTCTTACGAATACCTAACTCCATAGTCCATTCCCCCGCGTCCGGGTTGCTCACGAGTCGCGCCTGGTCAAGACCCCAAGACCCCAAACACCCTTAATACCGTGGAGGAGGGGAAGCACTTTGAATCGTTGACTAAGACACTGAGGAAATGACCTTTCGATTCCTGTCGAAAGGGTAGCTTGTACTGCGGGCAGCGTGGGGGAACAGCGACAGGAGACTTTTGACGGATGCATATTGTTTGTTAGTCAACTTGCTGTACTATGAAGATGAGGTGGTGAGAGATGACTATGCTTCCAAAAGCTGTCAAAATGAATGTGGCAAAGAATTGACTGTCGATTTCCACGTAACCTTTATTTTGCGATGTAGTAACCAGCTGCGGCTGCAGAGAAGCGCAATCAACGCACTGTGAGATCACTACCTGGTTACATCGGCACAGGCCAATACTTCGAAAGCAAGATAAAACGCCCACTGCTTCCTATCTCTCTTTCAATCAAAACCGCGATAGATTATCAAAAGTACAATGAGCACGTTTCCAAGAAGGTCATAGTGATTTTCTCACCGTAATTCGAAGCACGCTTGGGAAAATATCATGTGTGGGTCGGGAGGCTGGGGTTGATTGAGCCTGAGAGTCGGCAAAGTGGAGACGCATCGTGAGATTGTCGTGGTGGATCACAAAACCCACAACCACAACACCACAATTGTGTGAGAAAAAAACATACAACACCAGGTATTCGCTGGTCGTCACCGACCCAACTACTAATCCGGCCCTCATTAGTTTATCTATGGGAGAGCGGACGGGATCCCGAGTTTTCTAATGGGTATGATCGTATGTGGCAGATTTTACAGGATAAGATGACTATATCCTGACAGTTTACAAGGGAGTTGTGTCTGGAGGTAAGCAGAGGTGACTTTGGACAACGTATAACACTTCGCCGTTGTGTTTTGTAATTCGATAAACTGCTACGGCGACCCAACTGTGAACATTAAGATCAGACATTCAGTCTTCCTAGTAGACATAGCTAACAATATAGTGATCATCCCAGGTTCAGGTGACAGGAGGCTACGTTCACCTACAGCCTCAATATTGCCAACGGTGTGGAAACCTGAGTATCTACGGATACAATCATTCAGAGTTCAGTAATATCATTGACAATGTTGTAACGACTAATGACCCATTGACAAGGAGGCTGCTGAACTCAAGAATTCAGTCCTACTCGACAAGAGCAGTATTTAAGTCATCTGTATTTCAGCAAACGTAGGCCAGAAGTTCTATCACCTACCTAAGTACAACGACATCTTCAATAAAGTCAGAGGTTCAAGTCATAGCTTTCCCATCCACCGATGATGCTTTGTATGCTATTCTCCAAAGAGGTGCTTAGAGATATGTTTGTGGTGTTGAGTTCGTGGATCATTTAGAGAGCTCTCTAAACCAGAGCTTCCCGCATAGTGAGACTACATCGGTGTGAAAATATTCAGAAAGACAATATGACAAGCGGTACACAATTCTATACGGAGAAACTAAAGAGCCCATTTGAAAGGAAGGCCGAGGCTGGGTTGTTTCAAAGAGGCTCTCGTGTCACCGTTAAGCAGGCAAGTTCAAAGGAATCAAGTCCACCTTGAATGGTCCAACCACATGAGCCCATCGCTATAGCTGAAGACATTTTAAATCTGGAGTTCTTCAGCTCTTGTAAGTGTTCGCAATTAATACGTTAGAATTGCTAATACTTTGTCTTTCTTTTCTAGCTCGGAGCTCGGTCCGCACTACTACTCAAAACGCTGCGTTGCAGTTCCTAGATAGTGGGAAACTCGACAAGGGGAACTTGACAACACACTCGGAGAATCACCACAGACCAGAGAGGACTGGGCGGTTCAAACTACAGATTGAAATCTTTGCTGCATAAAAGACACTGAACCGACCATTTGAGAATCAGAAGGAGAAGTCTAGAAGTGGGTACTCTGCGCCACCGATGTTGATTCGTTTACTCTATTGACAGCGTCTGATTTCAATCAGGCGGTTGCCTCGTTTGTAAGCGACGGATGAGTCTATGCTGGACCGCTTTTGCATCGAAACTTTGAGACCTATTCTAACATTGGAAGTAAATGAAGCGCGCGAAACGTGACGTGCAACAGTCGAGCTGCCAACGATGTATCAAGATCGTGACAGAATGCCTCGGTTACGAGCGACCTGTGAAATGGCCCACCAAAAATGAGAAGATCAACGTCTCTGAATATAATTTGGCCAAGCTTTGAGGTCAGAAGGTTCTTTGGCCCCACAGTGTCCAGGGATTCTCAAGGACCACAGAGCATCTTACCATGCTTACATCTGCATCTGAACATCTTCGAGATGTGCTATACACCGAAACCAGAGAGCTCAGTATAGCAGTGTTGACATGTACTTTGAACAGTGCTGACACGACCACCCCATTCCAGAACCCTTCGGGAGAACTTTCAGCACTGGTGCACTATTACTTTTCTACCGTCTGTCATGTTCTGTTCTCTTTCGACTCCTGCGAAACCCTTTCCGCTCGAAGATACCTAGGTTATTCAGCCAGTCATGGTTGCTGCTCTACTGCATGTTGAGAACGTCTGCCGCGCACCTCTACCAGAATGAAGATTCAAGGATCGTTATTCCTCTGCGACTTCAGCTCACGGCTATGTTATATCTTACTGAGCAGCTACCCATGTCATATAGCGCTATATCCAGCAGATCCATCTATCGTGAGTCGGCGACAAGAAGACGATCTAAACCTCACATTAGGGATGTTGCGCTTCTGGGAACGATCCTTTCTGGGAATGACATCGGTGTATATAGTCCCATCCGCTTCACTTCGATCTTCATGGATTTTGATTAATGAGATACAATAGGCCTGGCACGGTGTTTCTCCTACAGGCTTCATGCATCTCCACGTATCGAGGGAACTCTTCAAAGCTTGGATGTCATCGAGCCAGCTGACCGCCCCCGACCAGAACCCAGCGATGAGCGTAACGCATAATCTTGTAGTCTCATCGATGTTGTACTGGGAAGCCATGAACTCTTTCATCATGGATCAAGGACAAGAAGCTCTGTCATATCTGGACGCTTTCTGCCACCCACCGATGTCTTCGCACACGGACCCGTATCCATGGATAGTCGCGGGAACAGCCACGTTCATCTACTTTGCGAAAACAGCGACGCTAATTAGAAGACTCATGACTCTGGGTAGTTCGGATGTTCACAGGTATAGGGATGCTTTCCAGTATTCGTCATACTCGAATCTCATACAACAAGCCACGGCGTTGAAACATGACATCTCGGTACTCAAAACCCCCAACTATGAGCTCGGCAACAGGAAGCGGGGATATGTTTACGCCTCCAGATAATCTTATCAACATGGAGTAATACTACCGGCTAGCGGCGCTGCTCGACTTGTATAGGACATTTCCTGAACCGGTGGAAACCCAAAACCCTCGGGATCATACCGCGCTCGATACAAATGAAGAGAGGAATCGGTCTGCGAAAGATTTTGGTGATCTAGCTTTGAGACTTACTCGGACTGTGGAAGAAATACCAGTCACCTCTTGTACCATCTTGACGCAGCTGTTATCTCTCATCAACTCAGGCAGCGTTCTCGGCCTGGCTTTGGGAGAACATACTCAGTGTGGAGACTCGGCCGATATCATGCTATGGAGAGACTTTGTGCGAATGCGCACTAATTGGCCATACCGTTTGATTTGACTGAAGCCTTTGAGGCATGGGTTGCTCATCTTGGAAGAAGTTTGGGCCAGCTTGGATGGTATAAGTGCTGTGAATTGCTCTGATGATCTCACTTCATATGAGGGACACTACCATTGGGTCGATTTCATGTAGGAAAAAGGACTAGAGAAAATGCTGGGCTAGAGCTACAGCTACAACGAGTATGATGTTGGGCTCGATGGTATATTTCCTGTAGCTAAACCCTCGATACAATGATGCGGAAATTCCACTACGCGCCGGCGTCAGTACGAGGAAAGCCAAAAGAGAAGCACGAAAAGAGGTTCGGGGAAGGCTTCGAGATGGGAGGGACATGGGTACATTGGAAAGGAAAGTCGTCTAAGCGTGCCGATATGTGATGAAGGCAACCAACGAGAGCATCACAGGCACCGACTCCGTGTCTTTACAGAAACCCATCGATTTGGATTGCAGTCCAACCTGAAGACATCTTCTGGGACAGCTGATGTGGAGAACACATTTTACGCAACGAAACATTCGAATCCTGAGTTGGTCAATACTACTGCTCCCAACACGGCTGTCCAAGATGTTGCGGGCGCCTTGTTCTTGATCGAAGGTCTATTAAACCGCCAGTTGATGCCGTATTCTCATGAAACCTTTACGCTCTGGATGATATGCAATCATCAGTCGGCCAACGATGGTCTCGATGAGCTCGGAACCGGCCAACACGACAAGGATTTGTTTGACGCCATGATTAGTTCCCTCGGCGCCGTCCCCGGCCGTGAAAGTGGCTTTATCGAGGTACTCTGCTGGTATGCGCTGGGGGTACACTCCATGGCTGGAACTTTCGAGCTTGTCGGGATATACAAGCTTGGTGGATGCTAAGTGAGCTCGCTAGTCCGGACAACCCCAACGACTGTCATGGGCGTGTGTTGTTCAACACCCTGGTTGGAAAAACAGAGCAGAAAGGATTGACTGCCGTAATATCCACAAAGAACGGGCGTCAGTTTGAGAAGTATTGTGTCTCGACCGTTCCCCTATGAGTACTTTCTGCTCAACTTGATTACTTGAGATGCCGACGACAAATCCAAGGAACTGTCTGTCAGACGTGACCTCTTTGCCCCCGCTCTCGCCACTCAGCATGGGCACGAACCGGGATGGTTCTCAATTGCGAATAGTTACAGAACGTCACCGTGGTGCTTCGCCCTTTCAGATCACAACGGCACTAATGATAAAAACCCTAGAAACTTTTGCATCGGATTTGGTTACAGTTCGCATCATATTGGTCAGCAGTCTTCATCCGAGACGATTGCAATTCTTTTTCAAACAACATCAAGCCCGCAGCCGAGGTGGCAGGGCACATCACAACGACTGGGCGGACCACAGTCTTGCCAAGGGTACATGAAGTTGCTGGGGCCCTAAGTCAATGTCGATATGGCTCAAGGAGCTTCAGAGACCAGGAGGCCGAGTTCATTTTGCGAATGCCGATGTTTCATTGATGGGGCAATTGAGCGAGGGACATCTGTTGGACGGGAAGTTGGGGACATTGCTTGCGGAATACAATGTCGCCGCTAAACTGTAGTGGTCAAAACACTGCTGTACAAAGAGAGTTTTGAGAATTGAGTGATTACGAATGAGATTACCAGTCTATCCCGACGGTTCTGGGACCGGATATTTCCAAGCCATCCAGGCAATCCAAACTTGGATAGCCCCAAGACCAATGCTGATTATTCCGACAAGTATGGATATGAATAGAGCGACAAGGGCAACGTAGAGCGCACTGCCTTCGTTGCTTTGTCGATGCAGCCAGCGCTCGAACTTGTTCCTTGGAGGCCTACTCGTAATCATATCTTGTAGGATGGAGAGACGCTCTGCCCAGTATACATACTTGAAGTCTTCAGGGGGACTATGGAATAATATATATCCTTCATACTCGGCACATTCACGGTCGAAGGCGCCCCGACGCTTCCCGATGAGATCATCGAGTATGTCGGCTGATTTCCTATCAATAGACTGGAATAGGATAGACTGAAGCGAGTGCAAGGTCTCTACGAGAAGTTGAGGTGGCAGGTTGCCGCTGGCGAGTTGTTAGCTTCGTATGCCAAAGAGCAGCAGTGCTTTTCGCGTGCCTCTTCAAACTTTCCTCCATGTGTTGACCCAACGGTTGCTGCTCATCTCTAGCCTTTTCCAATTGTGCCTTCAAGAACCCTACATGATGGAATAGATAGAGAGAGTTGCTCTTGGGATCCAGCAAAAGATGCTCAGACAGATTATGTGTGCCTCGAAACTTGATGCCGAATCGATTCCGTAGCTTCCAAGCCTTGAGAGCAGCCTTCTCGTCAACGGCAGCCTCGGCCTTTTCCTGTATACTTGGGTCTTTGCTCATTGGGAAAGATCGCTCCATGAACCCAAGAAAGCTCTCCCCGTGAACCCAAGATATTGGACGAAAGCCACCTAGCGAGTAATCACTTGAATGGTGGTCTCCAGCGTTACAGTCAGCCATGGAAACAAGCTGCACAGAAATGTTTATAAGGCTGTCAATCTTTTCCGTCGACCTGTTGATCCCAAAGCTCGTCTTGACCTTTTTCACGACATCTTCTTTGGTCATAGCAGGGTGGGTCTTGATGAGACTAGTCATCAGGATCACCTCTCTTTCGGATAAGGGTTTGGCATCTTCTGGATCTATATTGACGATGAAGTCTGTTTCGTTTCTTAGTAGATCATCGTATAGAGAGAAGAAGGCTGGAACATCGTCTGCTTTCCCGAAAAGGTGACGAGAAAGCTCGATCTTCTCTGGTGACAGGTGACTTCTCATTTTGCAATAGGATGGGATACCGAGGGAACAGAGAGGCATGTGGAAGGAAACACGTCGGAAAGAGATACGGAGGAGGAGAAGGGGAAGAAGGGGAAGAAAGGAAAGAAGTCAGAGGAGGAGGGGGAATAAGGTGTGATGCGCGTAATTCTGCCTCGGATGACGGATAAGTGCATCTAAAGCCGTGGAAATATGGTTGCCATTGGATGGGGAGGAGGGTTCTCGCCGGCTCGCTGTTTACCCCTAGGAGGGAAGTTATTGGGCAACGCACCTGCGCTGCGACATGCATGCATAACCGCCGACGACCAAGGCAATGCGAACCGGATTCAATGCCACCAGGATTGTCTCCGCTCCAAATGTCGAATCGTTGGTATTTTCTCCTTTCCGCGGCCCGGACCGTCGACTTTCATCCCTTCCCCTGATCTTTCGTCCGGAAGACGAGTCGCTCGTTTCCTCGTCTCCACGGCGCTTCATCCTAACGATACCCGTAACAGAGAAAGCCCATCCAGCGCCTCCATTGTGAGTTGGCCTCTGTAGTCATATGCGGAGATGTATACTAACATTGTGTGTGGAAGATTGTCCTGAGAAGATACAATAACGTGATTTCCGCGTTGTATGTCGTTGGAATGAATTCTTCTGCTCGTCGACAGGATGCGAAAGCATACAACATCCCGGGCAAGAGCGATAAAAAGATATGGCCATTGCTACCAGTATGCTCTGATCTCTGGACAGAAGACCAGTACAGAGAGCGGTTCAGGTTTGTGGCCGAGGAATTGAAAAGGGCCGTCGATGAAAGTGATGAATTAAGCAAGCGAGCGCGGTTCATTGACTATGAGTTGTGGATGGTGGGATCAACACAGAAAAAAGCCACACCTTCTATCCTGATCAAGTGTAAGGAGACTGACGTCGGTGGCCTCAAGTCGTTATTCGACAGGACAGCAGCAAGCCGGCTATCTTGCCGCAGAGATACCAAATGGCTGCAGCTCCTCAAGGAATCTCCGCCTTCGAAGCCACCTTTCCGACTGTTTTTCGTTGCATCTCATGACAACCCGACAACATTAGCTATCGGAGCGGGCACTGCTTACATCGCTGTAGATGCTGCCCCTGCAACGATGTGTGGAGCTTTGGTAACGAATGGTGAGCTGAGGGCAACAATTGGCCTGACGCTCGAGGTCAATGGAGAGGATCGTCTCTTGACGGTCGACCACATATTCAATGACCCTTATTCGCTGTGGGATGAATACGAGCGCGAACGTCATTGGAACATGCGAATCGAAGCAGAAAGGGAAGCGGGTACAGACAGTTCAGACTACTCAACTCCCATCACCTTATGGGAATACGATGACGATGAATCTGAGATCGAGAGTGTCGATAGCTCGAACAACGACGATTCAAGTACCGCTTCCGAATATCTAGGGTGGCCATTGAATTCGAGACCGCACTCAGGTGATGCGGACATCGGCGATATGTCTCATAATAGGCTCTTTTCATATGCCGACACAGTCCCGATATCACTGTCGGTTAGCGATCCTACATGGAACGAGCCCGCTTCTGTCCCACCCCTGGATTGGATATGCCTCAAACCCGAGGTCGTTGACTTGGGCTTGAGGCGCTGCAATTATGTTGTGCCCCCTGGCGCGGCTCCTTCCGACGCATTTATGATTCAAATGGTGGCTAGCGAACCCCGACAGCTCGTGATACCTGTCTACTTGGCTTCTGGCATTCTGGGAACAAGGTCTGGAAGACTAATCAGCCGGCCCAGCTACGTGGGATCCTCACCGGGACAAGATCTTTGTGAAGTCTGGACCATGTTCTTTGATGATTCGAGAGGTACGTTGTGGTATGCCACATTCAGAGCTAGGAAAAGCTGACTGACTACGTATGCTTAGGCGTTGTGCGCGGCGAGTCCGGCTCCATCGTAGTTGATCAAGAGACTCCTGCAGCCTGTGGTCATGTCATTGGAAGAGATCTTTTTGGGCATGCACGAATTGTTCCGCTGGTAAATACGATCAATCAGATCAAGGAGAGATTCGGGAGCAGATTTGGGCCGCCTGCCGTAGTCAAGCTTCCATTGCAGCCAACCGAAGGCAGACCGGCACCTCCAAGACCCGTGCTTCCCTGGGAAGATTTGAAGGAATTTGGCGTTCTTCGTTATGACGACAGCGCTGGTGGGTACACCGCTCGGATTGGCATCCAAGCGAACGTGAGGGGATTCTGGGAAGAAAATGACAAATGGTCGATCTTCCTCAGTGGTGCCTTCTCATGTGCCTGCAGCTTTACTCTTACGCCATATCTGCCCGGACAGTCGCTTGAGTTTGCCCGAGCGGATACTGGGCAGACTCAAAACGTCCAAAACTTTGCGATATCGATTTCGGCTTGCGTAGCGGGCAAAGAAGACGAACGAATCGGCCTTGTCCAGAGATTGAGAGGCCAAGAGAGCGGCCCCTTGGGTAAGGTGCAGCTTGACCCAGGACAAGGATCCCGAGTTACCGCTGAAGGTCCCGGCTCCATGATGGAACACACCTTCGAAAGAGTACTCTTTACAAGGAACACGCCCTCTACCGCTGATCAATACTTCCAACTCGTCATTGAGCTCTGGGCCAATGTGGGCGAGGAGACGACACCAAGCTACGTCAAGGTCGCGGCTTATAAGTCGGCAAAGCTCACAGTGCTAAATACTCAGAACCCCTTCCAGAGTGGGAGTAGGAGTGGGAGTGGGAGGCGTTCCTCGATTGACGCTGTGCATGAAACTGGGTATGCAAACCTTGCAGCGAGAGGCCGAGAGTGGGCCTCAAACAATCACCAGGTATGATGTATGATTTCCAGAGTATATAGTTCATGTCCAGAAAGAAGGTGATTCCTAAGAGCCCGTTTCCAAAGGGCTCTTTGATGAATGAAAATGTGCATATCGAGTGTACTGTAGTCAACTTCACCCAGAAGAAGCAGCTGATCAACACGTTACGCCTGATTGAAAGCCAGGTCTTGTCCAGCAAGGGCGTACTGACAGACAGCAATGTAGCTTAGGCACGATAAGGTGTGTGCTGTTCCAGGACTGAAGTTGCTTACTGATGACACGACTCAATAGCCAACGCATTTCCCAGCCGTAGACACTTTGACTTTAATATGTATTTTTATTAATAACAGAGGCGATTTTCTCATCAAGATGAACCCTACTTTGTTGTACATTAACTGGGCTGCAGGCCGCCTTCTTTGGACAGCTGCTAGGCCTTGCTTTCTTATCTTTGTCTATACCCTTTCGTTGAGTCTTCGTTATGTCCAACGATCTATTGGGCTCAGTTCCGAGACTCCACGTCTACCCATCCAACGCCGTCACCCCTTTTTAACACCTAGGCTCTTTTTCTTTGTTTATTTAAGCATGCCGTCGAAGGCGGGAATGAGGGTCTGTGCAAGCCAGAAGGAGAAGACCAGCTTGGGGCCAGTCATGAGGAGCTAGGTAAATAAAAGATTAGCAATGGATCGAGATGGGTGGAAGGGGGGCCGGGTAATCTTACCTTGGGAACCAAACCCTTGAAGAAAGCGGTGGCACCCTCGTTCTTCATCATGTTGGAGATAATTTTGAAACCACTCTCGGGATTCTCAAAGTTACGGTTCTGGATACGGGTCTTGATAACATCGAGGGGAGCGGAGACGAGGAGGGAGGCGGAGGCACCGGCGATGGAAGCGATGAAGTTCTGGAACCACGAGGCCTTGTTGTAGTCTTCAAGCTTGAAAAGGTACTCTTTCGTGAAGGCGGAACCACCGAACAGCTGTTAGGAGACACATGTGAGTCAATGACATAAATCTGAGCTTGACAAAAAGATGCGCTTACAGCGAAGGAACCAGGAGCGTTGCGGGCGGCAGTCCAGCCCCAACCTCTGTACAGGCCGAAGCCCTCGTCGGCGACGATTCTGAAGACGCCACGGCCGCGGAACGCCTCGGGGTTTGTCTGTCTCTTGATCTTGAGAACGTCGAGGGGAAGGAGGACGATCTCTCCGATACCGATCAAACTATAGTCACGTGCGTCAGGATACAAAAAGTCCCCGCGGATTCGGTCTCCGACATGCGCGCAAAAAAAAAAAAAAGACTCACCTGCCGGCGGTGGAGTGCATGATAGCCTTGCCGGTCTTCTTGCCGAAAGCGCGCTCAAAGTCCTCGCCGTAGTTCTTGGCCAAAAAGTCCCTGGCAATGGGCTGACCGCCATACTTGTATATTCTCTGGAGGACCTTGTAGCCGGCAGCGTATCCTAGACCGGGGAAGAGCGAAACGAACTTGCGGCCCGCTGTCGCGGTAGCCGTGTCCTTGAAGATGACCTTGTTGAGCTGTTCGGCGCCGGAGATCTTGATTCGGAAACGTGTCAGCCTTCTCAGACGCCATCTATCGCTGGAGCTTGGGGAAGGTAGGGGGAGCTCGGTTGGCGTACCTTGGTCTGGTTGCTCATCAAGCGCTTCGCGATGGTGTCGACCTAAGCTTCTTGTTAGCTTCTCGTCCGGGCCGTTTACTAACCATAGCTCGTCATAGCACTTACGGGGTGGAAGACGGCTAATTCAGCGATACCAGCGGAGCCTGCGAAATGTCAGCGCACCGAGGTTCATGCGCGGGCGCAAAATGAGCAGCATACCGGAGCCCAGGAGTCGTGCGGTGTTCGACTCCTTCTCCCGTCCAGTGCTAGCAGTCGGAGACATCTTGATAGGAATCTGCGTTGAAGTGCGGAGGGTAACTGAGTTATTCCCAATTGAGCAAGAACAAGAAAAAGCGAGATCCAGAAGGTCGGATTGTCGTCAGGTCGTGGGGGGGACTGATATCAGGAGCACACTCGACGAGTACGTAGAGGAGTATGGTTCCAAGATTTGCAGTCGAAAGCCGGGAAATTTTTATTCAACCACTTTGGACCGAACTCGCAGCTTAACTTTTGCTGACCCTGTAGCGACAGGGCACCCTTGGCCGCCGAGCACCGGGGAGTGGAGCCTAGCACCGCAGGGATCGGTTCGCCGCGCCGAAGCAACAGCTACCTACCGACCGGTACGCTCGTTCCGACCGTTCTCGACGACCCATCGGGCTGAATTCCGGCTCGGTTTGTGTACGGAGTATTTGGATTGACTTGGCCGCCTTTTACAGATGTCCGTCCATTCAAAGTCATCACCTGTCCTGACCGCTGCATCCCGGTTCGCTGTCTACAGAGAGGCAACCCCCAACTTCAGCATCTGCAGTAAGATTCTTTGCGATGTTGACACGCCGTTGCTAAAAATGACGGCGCTTCGTTTTGATTTTTGGGTATCTGTCATCCTTTTCCCCCTCCCAATTTTGACCCGTCCGCCAATAGCGCGTTGCATTTGGGGATCGTGACGGGACTCGAGGCGCCTTGTACGGTTCTATGCCCCATGCTAATAGTCTCTGAACACTCCCACTAGTTCGTCCAGTCTCATGACATGAGCAAGAAGTTTGCTCTGCAACTCCAGATACTTGCTGTACTTGTTGTAATGCTCCGCAGTCATGACCTCTTCCTCCTTGCCCTTCACGTCCCTTCTCTCGACGAACGACAGAATATTGCGTTCCCGATACCGATGCACGTCTAGGTTTTGAAGGCATCGAAGCATTGCTTTGTAATAGTCGTCGACCAGCTGTGCCTCAGTCCTCTCAATGTCGAAGAACCAAAAGAACATAGTTCGCGTCGCTGTTCGACTGGCATCTCTCGGTACCTCCTGAACATCAACGAAGCCGGCCATCTGCATGGCAAGCATTTTGCCTTGGACCTCTCCTTTCTTCATCAGAGCGAGAGAGGGGAGCATCTTTTCGTCCAATTTGCCCTTCTCTCGCATTATCCGAGTCAGACGCAGTCCATGACGACCAAATGACTGTTCGATGACAGCGTCCACCTCTGTCTGTTTGAATCCATCAATCAATGGTTTAAAGTCGACGGTCCACTGCCCTCGACCCTGACTGCCACAGTGCCGCAGGAAGCCTTGTCGGCTCTCAGATAGTAGCAGCAAATGTTGCCGCATTTGGTCGATCCGACTGGCGCCCGATACAGGCCCATCCTCGAATTTGACTTTGGTCTCGCGGGAACCGGAAGCTGTCCGTGGCCCCTCGTCTTCGGAATCATCCGACTCTGCCCTCCTTACGCCATTCATATTGGGACGAGATGAAACCCTCGGGGCCGTTGGGCCTTCATCATAAGAATCGTCAGAATCGTACATGGGTTGGCTTGGCGTAGCTCTGACCTTCTCGGCGCTGCGAAAGTCGATCTGGTCTGCAGAAGCCTTGCCAACTCCATGAGAGACATCAATGGAGTCATCGAGATTTTCGAGAATTTCCAGACTGGTCACAGTGACTTGGCGTGAGTTCGAGCCTGGACCATCACCGTCATTATCGGAGTCGATTCTTGGGTCCAATTGACAGCGGGGAACCTGTTGCGTCAGCAGCCGTAATGCCGTGTGATATACGAGGCCAGTGACTTCTCCAAAAGCATCAGCCGCGTACTGGGCGAGCTTCTGGTTTCGCAGCTCTACGAGGCACTTCTCAGTGTTAACTCTGAGAACGATGTGGGACTAGACATTGTGATTAGCCAGGCAAGGGACTGAACTTTTGCAGATTAAGACTTACGTCAAGCTCAGGTACATCCTCATCCCAGTCTGCAGATTGTCTTCGTCCTTTGCCATTTGCAAGCTTCCTCCGCTTGGTCGGAAACATACCACCTCGTCCGACTTGTCGCTTCAACTTCTTGCTCTCCTCGCGTGCCTCTCGGAGTCTTTTCGAAACCTCTGTCTGCATGAGTTCTTTGTTCCGCGCCGTCGCTCGCTCGCCAGGGGCTGTCTTGGTGACCTCCTCTTCGATTTCTCGGTAAACGTCTTCGGGGTTTCTGAACGTCTTAGGTCCGACCTGATCGACGATTTCCGCCACGATCAAACGGTTCAAAACAGAATGGAGCTCCTGAGATGAATGCGCCAACCCATGCCCATTGGCCTTTGGCTTAGAACCGTTACCATTGACATGACCGTTTGTCGCATGATCACCGTTGAGGCCCGCCCCGTTTCTCCCCTCGAAAGCCTGTAAAAGATCTGATACTCGGGCGTGGCCGAGCTGCATAATCGTTTGTACAACCTCCTGCTCTGCGGAGCCGTATTCGGTGCCGACCATCTCAATTATCTTTCCAGCTCGGATAATGTTATAACAGCCATCGGGATTCGCTTCGTAGGTGCCGATCTTGTTATTGGAGTCGGACTGGTGGTAAATGAGGCTTTGCTGGACGAGGAGGGCTAGGCCATGTCGCAACTGCCGCGGAGTAAGGCTCGTGGTCTGGATAAGTTGAGCAATGGTGGACCTGCCCTTGCTGAATAACACGGCCAGGATTCGCTGGAAGAAGAGGAATTGTCAGTATGGTCTAACGGTATATAATGTCTAGGAGGCGCGATTGTGCTGCGCCGTCTGAGACTTGGAGATCATGGATAAAACCTACTGCAGGTAGCTCGCCACATATGTCGTTGACAAGATGAGCGCAAAGCTCCGCGCCATGCTTGGTCTGGTGTAGGGAGTTAGAAGAAATGCCAATCCAGCTTGATCAGCGTGATGCGAAACCTACCACCAGCATCGCGAAACTTGGATTCAGGAATCAATCGACTCTAGAGATCCTCTCAATATCCCTAGAGCTGCCACACTAGCTACCGAGAAGTCATTGAAATAATACAGTACCGGTGCTGGGTATTGGACAAAGCACTTGACCACAGATGATTTTGTCGCAGTGAGTGTCGCGTTCAAGTGGTGGAGGGACTTAAATAAAAGTATGGAACTTTTTTTTCTGAGCGGCGGGCCACCTAAGGCGGGGTGGGGGACAAAGTCGATGGAAAGCGCCGAGTCACCGACAGAGTCATGGAGCTGCAGGTGGATGGAAGCCGTGCCTAGAACCTCTCTGAGTCTGAGGTACCAAAACTTAGGTAAGAATGGATCTCCGACGGGTGGAGCCACATATATTCACACGTCAACTGCTTTAGGGATGACGGGAGCTTACTGTGGCTTGACACAACAGCCACTAAGGCAGCCTCGACCATGGCGGAGACCAGTTATTCTGCGATTCATCACTCTGATTACCTAAGGCGTGCTACGGGCGATGGAGGAAGCAGGGTGGAGATTCGGCCCCGGTACCAGGTAATCAGCCGACCTTTCATTGGAGGCTCGGAAACAAGGCAGTTTTTAATCACGTGATAGTACGAGTGACCCGTAGCTAACCTCGTTCGATGGATCGAAAATTGGTCGGGATTGAACGAGGCACTTTCTTGTCGAAGCTCCGACGAATTGAGCGTCACGAAACTGGATCTGCCAATTGTCGGCAACCGCATCATCGCAATGATCTCTAGACCGTCCCTCGCGAGGTCTGCGCAGCAGGCTCTCCGCAACTCGAGCTGTGCTCGCACAATCTCGGGTCGCCGGTTCGCCAGCGCTGCTGCTGGCTCCGGTGCCTTTGAGACCGCCGACGTTGGTGGTGTCAAGGTTGCTGCCAGTGACTCCCAGGGCCCTACGACCAAGTTGGCCATCGTGGCAAAGGCCGGTACCAGATACCAGCCTCTTCCCGGTCTGGCCGCTGGTCTCGAGTCCTTCGCCTTCAAGGTACGATGCGACGCCTGTTTTTAACCCTTGGGACCTACCGGGTATGGGCATTGCGCTGACACGGTTTTCAACGAGTAGAACACGACAAAACGCTCTGGTTTGCGCATTGTTCGCGAGTCTGAACTTCTCGGCAGCCAATTGACCTCATACCACACCCGTGAAGCCCTTGTTCTCGAGGCTAGCTTTTTCCGCGATGACCTTCCCTACTTCACGGAACTCCTCGCCGAGGTTGTCTCGCAGACCAAGTACACTAGTGAGACTCTCACACAAGTATGAACATGTGGCATGGTCGATTAACCGTCTATGTAGCCCACGAGTTCCACGAGGAGGTACAGCCTGTCCTCCGCTTGAAGCAGTCTGGCACCAGCGCTGCCGCTCTTGCCCTTGACTCCGCCCACTCCGTTGCTTTCCACTCCGGCCTCGGCTCTCCCTCCAACCTGACGCCCTCGATCCCCATCCAGCCCTATCTCAGCGAGTACGCCGTTTCCGAGTTCGCCCAGGCTGCCTTCGCCAAGCCCAACATCGCACTGGTTGCCGACGGTGCATCCGCCGCGAACGTCAGCAAGTGGGCCGAGCAGTTCTTCAAGTCGGTTCCCTCTGCCTCCTCCGGCAAGCTTGCTCTGAACACCACCGCCACCAAGTACCACGGTGGTGAGCAGCGTACCTACAGCCCCTCCGGCAACGCCTTTGTCATCGCCTTCCCCGGTGCCTCGAACGGCCAGGTTTCTCCCGAGCTTGCCGTGCTCGCGGCTCTGCTGGGCGGCAAGTCCAACATCAAGTGGTCCACTGGCTTCAGCTTGATCAACAAGGCTGTTGGTGTTGTTCCTGGCCTGTCCGCCTCAACCGTCAACCTCTCATACTCTGACGCCAGCCTCCTGACTGTCCAGCTTGCTGGCTCGGCTTCCGCTGTTCGCGGTGCTGCCCAGGAGACCGTCAAGGCTCTGAAGAGCATCGCCGAGGGTGCCGTTAGCAAGGAGGACCTGACCAAGGCTATTGCCAAGGCCAAGTTTGACGCTCTTGAGGCTTCGGAGAAGCGTAGCGGTAGCATTCTCCTCGCCGGATCCAGCCTTGTCCACAACGGCAAGGCTGTTGACGCTACCGAGGCCATCAAGTCTATCGAGTCTGTTACAGCTGAGAAGCTCAAGGCGGTAAGTACATGTATTTTTCCAACATTTTTGAAAGAAGAACCATGCGCTGACTGTTACATCATAGGCAACGAAGACGATCCTGGAGGGTAAGGCCAGCGTTGCGGCGGTGGGTGACCTTTTTGCTCTGCCGTACGCTGAGGAGCTTGGCCTTCGGGTATAAATGGGGATTAAGCCCTGTCTTATAGCGGTCGATGAACCGTGTATCAACAGTCAAGCATTTGCGGTAGATTGGGGAAATGTATCCTTTGTGAACATATGTAGTAGAATTTTCTTGTGTCTGCCTAGCTTGCCTAATTCCCACGGATGAAATTGTTTTGTCAAGTTACTGATACGTGATTTGCTCGCAACCATACGCCTGTGCACTCCACTTCAACCTGTAGAAATAACAGGGCCTCTCGTCGCTCCTCAAGTGAAAGATCGTGGGCCCGTCTAGAGGGACGTGGAAGCAAGTTTGGAGAGTCGGCTTCCTAGGACGATCCAACTTCAAAACCATATATATACAGACCTGCAAGTGCGTTTATTGTGAAAATTGAAACTGCCCTTTGCCTTCCCAAGCGCAACGTCCCAAAACTGTTGAATATCGCATATTTCTCCGCCCAAGGTCACAGCAACCACCGGTACACCAGGCGTCTTGATGTAACCTAGCACCAAGGATGCGACGGCTACATGGACCCAGCTGATTGGTCTTGGGGCCTGGCCAAAAGCTCATCGGCTGCGGGTGTATCTGAAAGACTTCCAGGTTCTCTTTGCGAAGCCATGGTAAAGAATTTTGAAGATACCCCAAGTAAGTTACCCAAGGTATCCTAGTTCTGTGGCTGGCACATTGGAGGTCATTGCTTCAAAGAGGTAATTGAAGCTCATAATGGCAGTTGCCCAAGCACACAGCCAATGGCAGGAGAGAGTGAGGTAAGAGGGCGCAATGATAAAATACACTGAACATTGACTGAGAGCTGCTCGAAACACTGCATGGACATGTAAGTGAGGGGACAACGTAGAGCACGGCCCCTCAGCGAGGTTTTGAGCGGTAAGGTACCTGTGTTTGGTACCTCATGTTAAGGCCTGCCCACCAGACAACCATGCCTGCTTGGAGAGCAGCTCGGTTGACGAGTTAGGGACTGCAGCAATGGAAAGAGAATGAGGTAATTGTGCCAGTGCGAACCCCAAAAACCAGACCTTACTTTACCACTTACTTACCTAGCTCAGGAGTGTATCTGTAGCACAGGACGACATGAGGCAGCCTAAGGAGATGTCTCGTGCCTTTAATAAACCGCCTTGATTATAGTGGATTGGCTCGAGGGGCTTAAACGGCCCAGGGGCCACTCATCTCTAAGGTAGACATCCCCTGAGAGCACTACCTTATCCATACCCGAACCCGCACCCGCACCACGCCCTTTTCTTGCTAGTCCCCGTCCAAAGTGCAGGGCGCAGGGTACACCACACTAAGGTACCTACCTTGGAGGGCAGGTCCACGGGAGAGGAAGGTACCCGGAGTTAAGCACATCCAATCCACACTGAGCACCCAAGCCCCAGTATGGGACTGCTGGTGCCAGTTGCTGCTGAACACTGCTGGAGGGAAAACAAAGCCTCACCTCACCTCACCTCAACCTCCACACCCAATCCCAACTCCCTCCACGTCCTCGCCCTTTTTGTGCCCACGATCGACGCTGGCCTCTTGTGTCTGCTTCTTCCCCCCCACCCCCAACCCTCCGCTCGGAGTTGCCCAATTGCGACGCAATTTGAGCAGTTCCTTCTCAACAAGGACTATATCTGGGGAAGCCTTTCGTTTCTCTCCCCTTTTTGCTGGGCCTTATTCAGCCCTCTCTGCAGAACCTCTTGGCCAGGTGAGACACACAGCCATCCTCCTTTCTAATCTTCGCATCCGCTTCTCCAGCCCTAGTGTCCGGACATAACGACGTCGACTTCTTTCTTTGCGCTGCCTTCCACATTGCATCGCTCTTTCCCTTGTTTCATCTTTGCTGCTTTGCTCATCGTCGTTGCCCAGCAAATGCCAAGCTGCGACTTGAAGCTATCTGTCCTTCAGACTGCTTCTTCCCCGCCGTTGGACCCTTGAAGGCTAACCGTGGTCAACATTGTTGTTACTGCAGGTGAATCTGCTCAGAACTGTAGGGCCCGCTGTGGCCTCACTGTCTGAACATCTCGACGACCAACGGTCAACGACGACTGGTCGATTCTCGAACCCGACGAACCGATATATCCTCCGATTCCCGTCGCAAGGTGTGTAGTACCACTGATTCATAGACTCTTCACCTCACACTCAGCGGAGTGATTTCCGATCATCATCAGACGCTTGTGCTTGGCACGTTCATCCCTTTCCAATCGAATCCTAACTTTTCGCACCGAACCACTCGCTCTTTGATGCTCAAAAATAAAAATCAGGCATGGGCTGACTCTTCCTTGCAGGGAACTGGAGGTCATTGGTAGCCAAGGTGGCACTGTTGTCGAAAGAACCCTACTTGAACTGCCTCGTCAACCCAAGGCTACAAGATGGTTGCTCCTAAGAAACCTCAGAGCGAAATCTCGAACAACGGCAACAAGCCCAACAACATGTCCTATAACAAGAGAGATTCGGTCATGGGTGGTAAGGCCGACGGAAAGGGCCCAAATGGCACGCCTTTTCTTTACCCCCAACCGCCACCTACAACAATGCTAACTATGATGCAGGCGCTCGATCTGGGTTCAGAACCGATACCGCTATATCCAACAACCGGCCCGGCACCGAGCGAACTCTGCAACCATGGGTTCCCGACTCGAACGATGGCATTGACGGTAGTTTGGAGAAGCCATCTGGCAGTGGAGGAGCTTGGGATCAGTTCGCCGAAAACGAGCGTCTCTTCGGCCTCAAGACCGACTACGATGAGAACATCTACACAACCACCATAGATAAAAGCCACCCGCAATATCGGGATCGCATGGCCGCTGCAGAGCGCAAGGCTCGCGAGATCGAGCGAAGCTTGGCCACTACGGCACACGTAGCGGAGGAGCGTGTCATGGACTATGTTACTGGCGGTGGTGATGATAAGGGCGGGGATGAGGAAGACAAGTAAGTCTCTTTTTGTTGTCTTGAGCTTGAAGCCGCCAAAGCTAACATTTATTTCCAGGTATAGCGGAGTCCGCCGTCAGGACTTCCCACCTTTGTTGAGCCGCGAAAACAAGTACACGCCTCCTGCCAAGCGAGCACCCGCTTCGAATGCGACCGTCGTCGGCGCTCCGATTGACCCCGCGATTATCTCGTCGCAGCTGAGGGCCCCCGCGAAGAAGCAGACCACAGTGAAACCAGAGGATGCCAAGCTTTTGAGCCAGCTGGTCAACAAGGGCAGTGCTGCCCAATCTGCTGAGGCGCCCAAAGCCGCCGACCCCAAGCCTGCTGCTCCTGCCACGAAGGCTACCCCGAAGCAAGAGCCGAGCAAGCAGGCCGAGACCAAGCCAGCAGAGACGAAGCAGACCGTTGCCGCAAAGTCCGGCGATGCCAAGGCTACTGAGAAGTCAACTACCCAAACCCGCCCCTCCGCAGCTACAAGCCGAACGATCTCTCCCCAGGTCAAAGATGGCGCTCAGGGCGCTCCAAGTGCCGCCTTGACTGTCGAAGTTGACGTTTTGAAGTCGTTCAGAACATTCGCCAGCCAGCAGCGGCAGAATGCTGAAAAAGTTCGGAGCAGCAAGGCAAAGGCTGACAAGGAAGTCAAGTTGACAGAGCTGAAGAAATTCGCCGATACCTTCAAACTGTCGACTCCCGTTCCTACTGACCTGATTTCCATCATCGCCAAGGATCCCGATAAACAAAAGGAGATTCAGGCAAAGGCACTTCAGAACGCGGAAGATGTTGCTCGCACCAAGACGACACCCACTCTTAAGGGCAAGGATGCTTCATCAAAGGAGGGTGCAGGGAAGCCTGCTGATACTCCTACCACTCAAGCTGCCGTCGAGACAAGGAACACTGCGCGCCCAGCGCCAGCCAATACTATTTCACCCTCCAATGTGCCGAACCGTCATCCCAACGCTCGCCAGTCTTACGCCAGTCCGCAGTATCACGCCCAAGCGTACAGGAACGACAGATCAGGCCAACACATGGCGCAACAGAGCCGCCAGCCCTTGGCCCAGCGCCTGCGCAACGTGGAGCAGCAGAAGATGTCGCAACCGCCCAACCAGCACGTCGGTGGTGGCCCCGATATGCGCATGCCGCCAACCGGCCCAGCGAACAACGCGGAGGCTTTTCGGCGCGCCGGCGGTGTCCCAAGCCACCTTGGCGGGAAGCTCAACCCCAACAGCCACGAGTTCAGACCAAACCCTTTCGCAACATCCTTCAACCCGAACGGACACCCCAGCGCAGGTTCTAGTCCTCGTTCTGCTGCTGCCAACAACGCTCCGGAGACTACTTCGACCCCAGCATCAGCTGGACAGCTGATCCGTCGGAAGACAAAGGCAGTCGATGTAAAGAAGTGTTATATCCTGGCCCACGTCAAGACGTTCACGCCGCCTCAGGGTCGAAACTGGGATGACAACGATGGTCTGAGACCCTCATACGACACCCCGCCCACCTGGAGACAGGTTTCGGACAATGAGAAGCCCGATTCCACTATGCTCATAACTTCCAAGGAGTTCTTGGAGCGCCAGTCATTCGCGGCATCGACAATTGCCACCCCGAACCATACCCACGTTGTGCCCAACGCCCACCAGCATCAGCTCCCCTTCCATTTGCAGCAACCTGCTCACGCCATGGGCCCGCGTCAGTCACCGCACATACCGCCCATGCCCATACAAAATCAACATGGACATGTGCCTCATACACCGTACCAGAACATGGATGACCACCGGATGATGCACTCCAACTCGGCCCAGTCATTCGCTTCTCCACGGATGGCACAGGTACCAATCGCTTATAATACGCCGGCCATGAGCTCGGCGGGTCAGGTGCCTTACAACCAGCCGATGATGCAGCCTTACGGTGGGCCGGGTACACCTCAGATGGGTGGCTACCGGAACTTCTCCAACAACCATCAATACATGCCGCAGCAGCCTGGCGGTCCCATGGGGGCACCCATGATGCCTCAATTCATCAACCCTCAGGGCATGGTACCGGCGCCCGGACAGATGCCCATGTTTGCTGGGAACCACGCCCAGTTCATGCCTCCAAATGGCGCCCCGCCTCAGCCTATCCCGGGAGCCAACGGCTATCCTAGCCCAGGACGCCCGTCAGCGCCGATGATGGTTCATCAAGGCTCTCAACAAGGCCAACCCGTGTATGGCATGAGCCCCAACGTGCCGTACCAGCAGCCTGCGTACACTCCGCAGCAACCCGGCGGTCAGGGTAAGATGGTACTCGGCGGTCGCTACCAATAAACTGCTAACACCTCAGCTTAGTTGGCAATGTGCGCGGTTACAATAGTCCTGGACCTCAGCACTTCGGGACGAGTCCTTCTCAGATTCATCAATACGGAGCGCAGCACCGCAGTGGAAGCAACAATTATGGAGCCAAACCATTCAATAACCATGGGCAGCATCAGGGCTCTCAACAGATTCCCTCGGCACCTGCCAATGGGCCCGGACACGCTCCTGGGGTTTCGGAAGAAGCTAAATGAGAGCTCAATGAAACGACCAAGGCATACCGATAACGCCATGAAAAGCTGCCTCAACATGTCTCAGTATCCAGGCCCCTTCAGCGTTGATGTATAACTACTTGATCCGCGGAGCTTGGGATGGATGCTGCAAATTTGGATGTGCCAGTCCTCCATGAAGTAGTCCATGGAAACCTCTTAAGCAGCCGACAAGGGAATATTTCCAAGACGGCTAGCATTCGGAGTAGGCCAGTCACCGAGGCGGAGGTCAGAGTTGGACTTGCTGTACGTAATGGGTGTTGTTGAACATGGAAATTACGTGTTGGTGAGCTTGTGGCTGGGAGAGCTAGTCCGACAGGTTCAGGTGACGCAGGGGTCTACTGCGATGATGCGTCAAGGAGGACGGCTGTCAAGCCTTGCAAGCGGATCACGGCAGAGTATCAAGGGGGATGTGAGTACGCCAGTCATGTGTGAAGGCTGGGTACATCGCAGTAGCTACCTTAGGTAGAGCTAGTGACGAGGAAAACAGCATAGGAGTTGAGAAGCATAGGCCAAAAGCCATCTATCAATAGGTGGCTCCAAATGACAAAACGTTACTTCAACTGCCAGGTTGGATTGCACGTGATTGGACAATAGAGCTTGCGGGTCTCTCTGACGGCTAGTCTTTGGCGTAATGAGTGATTTGCTCCGACCAGGGACGTATAACGTAGAAACCCGTGAGTGGCAATAACCAAAGGGAGAAGAAGGCCAAAAACCCCTAGTGTTGTAGAATATCTCAGACGGCACAGTCGGCACCATGACACGCTAAAAGGGGAAGATTGGAATTGGAACAGGAACATGATCGTGTGTGGTCGGGCTGCAACCTTGATCTCAGGCAAGGCCTATTCGTTCATGTTGTTCCCGTAGTTGAAAGAATATTCTTAGGCAGAAAGTGGGAGGCGGATGACGGGAGAGGTCAGATCAGCGGCGCCAGTTCCCGTGCTACATGGCTATTTGTCGATGACCGAAAGGCACCCTATGCAATTGAATTTAATTCCTAGATTGAATTTGTAGGTGCAGAGTATGATCGGTGGAAAGATGATCGGAGCATAGGCTGCAGACTACCTTACGGCGCCTCCTTCTTCGATTAGGGCCCGCCCGACCTATGCATTTCCGACTGGCGGCTGTTTGAGGTGGGATGGCAGGACGCATTCTCATTCGTGGCGGTTGCACGATGCATGCCATTTGGCGGCGCATGTCGCATGTTTCGAGAACCCCTGCTTTCTCCTCAAGTATCCGTAGTTTTTCCCCTTTTCCTGGCTCAGTCTGGGGTCTGGACGTTTGAAAACTTTTTTTTCTGCCAAGTCACGTCACAGTCGGTTCCGGGGATGGCTTGGGTGGAGTAGGCGCTGGAGCGGGGGAGGCGCGGGAGGCACGGGAGGCACACCGGAGAGGAATAGGTACTGAACACTAGATGGAATGAAGTCGGGTGGACCCTCTTTAGATCGACGACTCAAGGTACTCCCACGCTCCCCAGTGGCACATACGCACTTTGCGCATTTTCAATGTGCAACCAAGCACACGCGCCACAACTGTGCTGCTGTCTCGTGCCCATGTTGCTGAGATGTGTTTGATTCTCTCTCGGTACACCGCACAGCTTGGACTGTTCTTGTCTTTATTGTGTTTGTCGCGACCTGTCATAAGATGGGGTGAGTTGGGAGGCGGGGCAAGCTACCTTACCTAGGTAGCAAGGTGGTAGGTAGCCCGCCTGCTTGAGTACCTAGGTAAACTGGTTGTGCCAATCAGTGAGCCCCAGCGTCGTAGCGACAGTCAGGGACGCGGGCCGTTTGATTGGACGCGGTCTGGATGCGAGGAGGAAAGGCGCTCCCCCCTTCCATACAAGCAGCCAAGGTTGGGTTTGCGGCCCTTGCGCTTCACATCTTTACCGCGCAACTACCGCTGTGGCCTGCCATTCGTGCATCCTTTTTGAGCCAATGACAGACCTGGATGAACACTGCGTCTCTTTTTGGATCGTCCAGGGTCTGTTCATCCCACCTTTTTCACTACGTCCCACCCTGCTCGGCCACCACATCCGCACATCAGAGACAAGACAAACGCACTTCTGTCGCCCAAAAGTGGCCCGCGGAGTGGACATGTACCTCGCCGACACACCCGCATCGTACCGAGAACAGGCAATGAGCGCCGTGTGACTTAGTACCTTGTCTTAGTCGGTTCGGCCAAATGGGGGATTGGAGGTAACACTCGCGAGACCGGGGTCGTGGACCCGCAAGGCGGCAGCAGGCGGGTTGAACAAAGGTGCAAGGGGCACCAGACAGGAATCCGGCGCTGCTCCTGGGCGCAACTCGGGGGCTCTCGAGTTTCCTCAGATGGAGCCGTTGTTGGACAGGAAGAAAGGGGATGGAGAAGCCGAGAGTTGCGCCAGGACGTTGGGTCGTGGGAAAAGAATCCAGAGGGAGAAGAAAAGGGAGGATATCAACCAAACGCGCTTCATGCTGGACCTACACTACGTTGAAGGGATGCTCAAGGGCCCCCCCTCCATCTATCAGCATCCGAGCTGCGGTTGAGAAACTATTAGGTAGCTATACTAGCTGGTTGGAGGCATCCAACATGGGGACCTGAGGTATCTCGATGTAGACCTGCTGGATGACGATGAAGAAAAGAAGAGTGCATGCGACAGGGTAGGGGTTGTTTTGCGGCGCGAGAGAAGCACACCCCGCGACCGCTAGCCAGGCCGCATGGCTACCTCACCTCACTCCCATGGATCAGAATGCAGACTATGACTGCAACTGGATGGGAAGGAAGAGAGCCGCTCTTTCACCCTGGTCTCCCCTCAGGTCCGTCCGTACCTTCCTGCCCGAGATGGGCCGCCCGTGGTGTGGTTTGTTCGACGATAAAGAGCCCGTGACGGCCTCCCGCCTTCTTCAACCTCTCGTTTCTTCCGCACCTGACTTTCATTCGTAGCTCGATCCGAGTTCTGGGACCTGCTTTTCCCTTTTCATCTCTACAAATTCCCTTTTTGTTGCTCACCTCGCCTGTGTTGTTGTGTCATCCACGCTCTTGACTGCTACAGACTCAACCCAACTTGGCCTACTTCCTTCCCCATTTACACGTGGAGAACCAGTAGCCTCACTGCCGTTCCTTCCTTCCTGCCACTTCGAAATCTGCAACGGTTACGTATTCGCCGATATTTTTTTTTTCCGACTACCGACCAGCCTCATTGTTGGACGTTGAACGCATTCCTTCCACCTTCTATTGCCAAGTCATCCGACTTTTTTTTGTGTTTCTCGAGCCGGCTCGACTCCCAAGATCACCTTCAGATAAAGACAAGTGAAGACACCCCGTTTCACTCACCTTGACTTGACCGACTCACCTTCTTCATTCACCCACAACACAATAACAATCCCAACCTCAGGATCAACAAATCCGCACACATCTCAAGACGAGGAGCAAATACACTCTTTGACTTTACAAAAAAACATCCACAGTTCTATTCAAAAAATCCATCAAGCTTTTTTGTCCCCCTGGGAAGAGAAGCCAAAGAGAGAATCCCCCATCCTCACAAAACCACCTCATTTCAGACCAAATTCTTCCAACACCAGAAGACAACATGAAGACCACCTTCGTTTCCGCGATTGTGCTGCTTGCCGGCCAAGCCGCGGCCCATATGGCCATCACCTACCCGCCGCCTCTGCGATCCAAGGACAACCCCTTCGCCGCCAACGACATCGACTACAGTATCACCAGCCCTCTGAGTGCTTCTGGCAGCGATTTCCCCTGCAAGGGCACCTTGAACCTTCTTGGAACCGCGGAGGCTTCTCCAGTTGCTACTTGGCAGGCCGGCCAGCAGTACAACATGACCATCTCTGGCGGTGCCAACCACAATGGCGGTAGTTGCCAGGCTTCCCTCTCCTTCGACAGCGGCAAGACCTTCACTGTCATCCACAGCTACATCGGTAACTGCCCCGTTGCTGGCACCTCGTCTCTCAAGTTCACCTTGCCTGCCGACACCCCCTCCGCCAAGGACGCCCTCTTCGCCTGGACCTGGTTCAACAACGTCGGTAACCGAGAGTTGTACGCTCATCCTACCCTCCTGATATTTCCCGTGGGCTTTACTAATCTTCTTTCACAGCTACATGAACTGCGCCGTCATCACCATCACCGGTGGAGGTGGCAGCGCTTCCACCCCCTTCAGCAGCCGTCCCCAGATCTTCAAGGCCAATATCGCCAACGGCTGCAGCACTGTAGAGGGATCCGACGTCCTATTCCCCAACCCCGGCCCACCTGAGGATGTCACCAACGCCGGCACGAAGACGGCAGCCCCCGTTGGCACCTGCGACGTCGCAGTCGGTGGTGGCAGCTCTGGAGGTGGTGGTAGCAGCTCCCCAAGCAGCTCGGCCAACGTTGTCGCCCCTAATCCGTCCACCCCGGCCGCTTCTCAAGTTTCTCAGCCGAGCATTCAGTCGACCACTCGTGCTGCTGGAGGTGCATCTTCATCTGCTCAACTGTAAGTGCTTCTCAACCTTGTTGCGCTAGACATACTGACCCCTATCAGCCCTGGCGGTGTCTTCATCACAGTCCCGCCTTCTAGCAACTCTGCTGTTGCCTCACCTGCTCAGCCAACCACACTCGCAACCGTCAGCATTCCTGCCTCATCCAGCGAAGAGTGCACCGAAGGATCTTCGGCACCCACCGCTGTGCCTGCTCCCACTTCGGCAGTCATCCCCCCCGCTGCCCCTTCTGCTGCCCCTTCTGCTGCTCCTTCTGCCGCCCCTTCCGCCGCTCCGTCTGCTATTCCCTCTCCCGGCGCTGGAACTGGTGATGCCGCCGACGGCTCCATGACCCCGGGCAAAGCTTGCACCCCTGAGGGTCAGTGGAACTGCGTTTCCGGCACTTATTTCCAGCGTTGTGCCTCTGGTCAATGGTCGGTGCTCATGAGTATGGCTCCTGGCACCAAATGCCAGTCTGGCACAACCGAGGTTCTGGTCTGGCAGAAAAAGAGAGCCCACGGTCGCCGCTCCCTACGCGCCAGACACCATATCTAAGCCTCGTGGGCCTCTGTAACAACTTTTCTGGCCTTCGGATGTACTGTCGGAAGGTCCACGACATTTTATGACACTTGGACGAGATGGGATGGGGGGGAAGCGCATCCATAGACATGGGACAAACTGTGGCCTTCTGATATTTCGGCGTTTTGAGGAGGATGGCATTGATCTTCCAGGACTGGTTCTTGGCTCGCATGGGAAAAGGCTGGCAGGTAAATACGTCAGACAAGCTAGAGAGTAAATCATCACGATCGTTTTAAACTTGTGTCCCGTCGTCTCACATGCTGATGATGAGAAGGTAGCATTTAGGATGAATGCAAATGTTGATGTCACAGAAATGACTTGATGACTGCCGGGGGCTTTTGTCGTTGGTCGTCGTGCAATTGGTAGCACTCGGCGGGCCGTCAAAAGGTGACAGTGCGGCGCCAGCTGGCGGCCGCCACTTCAGGCAGCACAAGCCCCCGTGGCTGCAGCTTTAAACCTCGAGACTTCAAAACCAGGTGAAAGAAATTGGACGATTCACATTCCATGCTGCCACGCGATTCCTTTGAGCGACAAGTTCTTATTCTTACAGAGGTTTTGGAGCAAATACAACACTCTCGCGTTGGCCACTGGGCCGCGCCTGACATATCTGGTCCCATCCCTGTGAAGACCCAGGCCGAATCAGTTGTGGCGAGAAGGGAGTTCACATTTAGTCGCTGGACAGGGTGGTTACGAGTGGAGGCCCCGACGCTATGCTTCACAGCAACTCCTAAGCATCTCATATAAAATTGAAGATGGCGATACCGTCAGGCCGGACGGCCTTTAAGAAGAAGGATGGTGTCTTGACCTTGACGCCGGACCAGCATTCTGTCATCTGGACTCCAGCACCTGGGAATGGCCCGCCGACGGTCTCCCTGGTGATTGCCAACATCTCAAGTGAGCTCCAACCAGACGAGGCAGCTTCTCCATGACTGACAAGGGCCACAGACTTGCAACAGACACCAGACAGCGCAGCAAAGGTCATGCTCAAGATCTTTGAGAAGCCTCCAGATGCAACAGAACAGGTGCCTTATCTATTCCACTTCACATCACCAGAAGCAAGGTCCGAGGCCAACGCCATCAAAGACCTGCTCTCGAGGCTGTTGGTCGATATCCGCTCCGGCGACCCCAACATCCCCAAGCCCTCCGGCAACTCAACACCGAACGCGGCCAACGGCGCAAATGGTGCCGGCAGCAGCGGTGGCGGTGCCGCCGGCGGTTCGGGGTCCGGGTCCATGACGTTCGCCAGCTCCGTCAACGCCAAGCCGAACAGCGCTCGCTGGTTCGACGACGCCCAGCTCAAGGGCGACATTGAGCTGCAGCAGTCTCTTATGAAGAAGGACCGCACGCTGCACCAGACGTACATGGACGCGCGCGCGACGAAGCCCGAGTCAATATCGGACGCGGCCTTCAACGCGCAATTCTGGTCAACGCGCACGAACCTGCTGCGCGCCCACGCCATCGAGGTGAACCAGCAAAAGGGCGCCTACAACGTCCTCCCCGCGATAAAGCCGCGCCTGGAGAACGACGTGCTCAAGCTCGACATCACCGTCGAGATGGTGCAGCTCATCATGGCGCAGCACCCGCTCGTGAAGAGGCTCTACGACGAGAACGTGCCCAAGGTCCCCGAGAGCGAGTTCTGGTCCCGCTTCTTCCTCAGCAAGCTCTTCCGCACCCTCAAGGGCGACAGGATCACGGATGAGAGAAAGGAGGGCATCAAGCGCGACGCGCTGTTCGATGCCCACGACGCCAGCGAGAACACGACCATGTTCCAACGGAAGAGCATGGCGCAGAGCGTGCCGCACATCATTGACGTCTATGGCAACGAGGAAAACCAGGGCGGCTTCCGGAGCGGGAACCAAAAGGACGTCGAGATGCGGCCGCGCAAGAACGTGCCCATCGTAAACACCCTCAACAGTCTCAGCGAGAGAATGCTCGCCAACGTGGCTCCATCGGACCGCGACGCCGGGGCCGAGGCTGAGGAGGACTCGACGTGGGCGGAGATCGCCCTCCGCGATCTGCGAGGTGACACCAAGGAGAACAAGATCATCCTCAACATCAAGGAGCAGAACCGCTTCTTTGCGAAAAAGGACGAGGCCAAATCCGCGAACGCCTTGGCTTTTGCCAAGCAGAACCCGTCGGACGTCCTCTTCGACATCCAGACCGACCTCGAGACCATCGAGACGGACGGCGCGGGCGGCCTCAACCTCCGCGCGGGCATCGGCATCGTCGACGATAGCGACAGCGACGAGGACGCCTCCTCGCGGCGCGCCCCGCACGTCGGCTCCCGCGCCGCTCGAAAATCCGCGGGCGACGACATCATGAAGGGCATTCGCCAGCGCCGCGCGCAAAAGTACGGCGACACGACGGCGGACGAGACCCGCCCCATGGGACTACCCATCGAGGTCGCAGAGCGGTGCCAGCTGACGCACGCCACCACGGTCGAGTTCCTGCACCAGTTCTGGAACGCGTTTTTGTCGGGCGACCCGGACCGCGCCAACGAGCTGCAGTACCTCGTCGAATCGCTGAAGCGATCGGCCGAGCGCATTCACGCCGTCGCCGACGAGGCGGAGAAGACGCGCGACGACATTATCCGCACTAAGAAGAAGGAGATTATGGATCACTACAAGGCGACGGGGAAGAAGATTCGCGGCTGGCGGCCCGAGCACGAAAAGGGTGGAAAGAAGGCCGTGTTGGCCATTATGCAGCCGACGCTGGAGGCGTTGAAGAGGGCACAGGGGGATTACCAGCGGGCTCTTGCTGCCGAGGGGGTTCAGCTTTCCACCGAAGCTTGAGATGCATGATAGGAGGTGGTTTGGGGGCAGTGGCAGGTAATAATACGTCTGGGTATGGCGGAGAGGGAACCCAGGGTTGGTTGTACGAGAGATATCAAAATGCAAATCATCGAAAGCTTCATTCAAGAATAAGCAAACACATCACCGAGCCATATACGCTCCTCTTTCCTGAAATTCAGTGTGCGAGCAAGTCATGCCAAGTTACCTCGACACAGTCTTGGGATTCACAGTGAAAACGCCCAGGTATGTTTTTGCCAAAAACCATCTCATAAGGATAGTCATTCATAGCCTATCTCGCCCTCTTTCTTTTTAGCAAGTCTTTAGATGCTACTACCTAGATGGTTTCCTCTCGGTGATAATACAGTTTTTCACGGCCTTTCTATAGCCCGTATTTAATACACGATGAATGTCCTCAAAGGAATCTTTATCGCGTAACAAAATCGTACAATCGCGAAGCCCGCCCATACACAGTCGGAGGGGGCTTCAACAGCCAGAATGACATTACACAAAAGAAAACGTAATATAAAATGGACCGCAGCACAGCTCCCGCAGAAGCACGTCTCAAGCAACAGCCTGCCGTACCCTAGCCTCCTCAGCATCCGTAGAAGTCGGCAAGACACCGAATCCCATGCCCCTCTTCTTCTGGCTGTTCTTCGCCCTGACGTCCCCGTACTTTTCATCGAACCGCCGGATACTCTTGAGGCTGTCCATGTCCTCGCTGACGCTCGCGGCAATCATCTTGAGCGCCTTGTCAAAGTGGTGCTTCATCAGCGTGCGCTTCGGCGGGAAGACATAAGGCTCCGGACCGGCATGCCGCGCGGCCTCCTCGCTCTCCTCCTGGACGGCCGTCATGGCGGCCGCGACGCAGAGGTTTTTGAGGTCGGAGCCCGAGTAGAGGACCGTCCTGCGTGCGATATCATCGACTGAGATGGAGGGGTCGAGGGTCTCGCCCTTGAGGAGGATGCGCAGGATCGAGGCGCGGTCGCCCTTGAGGGGCAGGTCGACGAGGATTTTCCTCGGCAGCCTACGCAGTACAGCATCGTCCAGGTCAAAGGGGCGGTTCGTGGCGACCATGATGAAGGCCTTTGTGTCGCTCATACCGTCCCACTCCCGCAAGAACTGGTTGATGGTCTCGCGGTGCGCGGCGCGGTTTCGCTGTCCTCTGGCGGCAAGAAGAGCGTCGGCCTCGTCGATGAAGATGACTAGTGGGCTCAGCTTCTTGGCGAGCGAGAAGAGAGCTCGCACGTTCTTCTCGCTCTGGCCGACGTACATATCGTTGATGCTGGCGCCGCTGACTTCGAGCATGTTGGCGCCACTCTCCTTAGCGACAGCCTTGGCTAGGAGGGTCTTGCCAGTCCCGGGCGGGCCGTAGAGAAGACAGCCCGGTATCCTGTCGGTAGCGAGGACACCGTAGGTGAAGGCCTCGGGACGGACGAGCGACAGTGACGTCAGCAGCTTGAGGTTGTTCTTGGTTTCCGGGTCGGCGTGGACGTCATCAAACGTTGTCTTGATCTCACTGCTGTTAACAAGGCCGCTAAGGAGCTTCTTCTCGTAGTCATTGTAGTTGCCGGATACGCGGAGGCGTTCGGGTTCGGGCTTCTGCATGTCAGGAGAAGAAATTCCACCGCCAGAAGAGGATTTGGACCGCGTCGGCCGGTCCTGGATGCGGTGCATCTGGGCGGTGCTGTAGCTGCTGGATTCAACGACGTCAAAGAGGACTCTCCATGACTGGTCAGGGCTGACGGTGCCCTCACAGGCGTAGAAGAGGCGAGTGATGTGGTATACGTCGGAGAGGGGGAGGATGGAGGTTGCCAGGACGCGGGGGATGAGCGAAACCTCCATATAAGAGCCGTGCGTATCGTCCAAGAGGAATTGCGGCGGTGAGGACTTTGACACGCCGACGATGCGCAGCTTGCTTGTGTCTCGCGATTGGCCAGAGATGCTCTTCAACATGTGCTGAATGTTTCGCAAGTTTTCTTGCAGATAGTCGTTGGCCTCGTAAATCTTCTTGGTGTTCGTAGCGTCGGTGATCCGCTGGAAGTTCAGGGGTAAGGGTATAAGACATTCCTCTGCAGCGATTTCCTTGAGCGTCGATGCGTATTGCTCCGAAGGGTTTTCGTTGGATGAGGTGCCCACGAGGGTGACTCGTTTTCCGGCGCGCCACATGGTGTCCACGATGGTCCGAAGTCGACCGATGAGCAGAGCGCCCTCAAGCGTCATGTTGAGCTCAACAAAGTCGTCCACGTGGATGATGAGATTGCGGTCAGGCTCCGACGTCATCTTCCTAGCCGAGTTGGCAATCTCCTCGAGAACGGCGTTGATCTTCAGGTTTTCCCAGCGATCAACAGAGGGGAGGATGTAGTCCTTAGGACCTTCCCTGATTTTTTGCAGTTCGTTGTCCATGGGATTGCCGTAGCCGCCATCCACCCCGTGATCCCGAAGGTTGACCCAAGCCGCTTCGATCTCGCCAGTGAGATCTTCATCGTTAGGCTTAGACGGCTCCTCGGTCTTGACGAGACGTCCGTTCATCTCAGCAGCTCGGTATCCCAGCATGGAGATGGAACCTCGCGAGTAGGCACAGTCCTGTCCGATGTAGTCGCCGACAAGCACCGCCAATTCCTGCGCATCGAGGTGTATCAAATCAGCCTCCGCGCACGACGCAACATGCTTCATGAGCTTCTTTGTGTGGCTTCGACCCGTGTAATTCGGGATGTTGACGATGGTAAGGGGTCTCTTGAGCTCCCTGCCTACCGAGCTTGCGTCCGGCTGCAGGGAAAGCTCCGCGCACACCGCCGTAACAATCTCGCCGCGGATCCTAGGATCGAATAACCTCAATCCGTCACGTCTTAGCTTCGGCCTTCCCTCCTCGATATATTGCTCGACGAGCGATTGCAAAACGCTGTCCTGGTCTTGTGTTGGATCGGCATCCGTCGTTGCTCTAGTGTGTTGCGACAAAAGGTTCGAGAGAACGAACTTGTTGGAGTATCGAAGCATGTCTGCGAATTCCGTGGTTGGTAGCGGCTCGCGAGAGCTCTGCAGGTTGTTCGAAGATCGCATCTCGTCAATGGAAAGGCTCAACCACTGCGATGCCTCGGCAAGGATACGATTCCTCCTCTCAACGGCTTCGAGATTGCCCCGGCGCAGCGCAGTTTGCAGCTTCGCCTCGGTCCAAGATGCATGGCTAAACACCAGGTCCAAATCCTTCCAGAGCAGGTCGTGCCAGCGGGCGCCCATGTAGCGATGGTGCCACAGGTCGTTCGTGAGGGTGTTGATTCGGTTCTCGGGGTCGTACAGTGACACGCCGGTTTCGAGGAAGCTCTGTGGCAGCTTCACGGGTGGGAGCTCGTCAGCGGCCCGCGGCCTCGAAAGGCGCGCTCTCGCAGAGGCGAAGGCGCCGCCTCTCGACCGTCGAAAAGCCGATTCCGAAGATGCCGAGTCTGTTTTGCTCGCGTTCCCATCTCGACTCCTACTGCCATCCTCTTGCTCGCCGGCGGGTTTGTCTGGGGGCTTGGCGTCGTCTGCGCCGCCTTCAGATGGGCTCTTCCGCAACCTATAGGACGGGTGGAATTGTCGACACTGGCTGCGATGTGCGACCGAAAGCGTTAACCTTGACGATGCAGAGACTCGTGAGGCTGATGCAAGGCCCCGAGGCCCTATTGCATACATTCGGAAGGACAAGAAGAAAAATGCCAGCAATTGGCGGTGTCGTTACGTGGCAAAAGAGACCTTTCGTGCTGTCGAGCTGTAGAAGCCGGCACCGTGCTTAGTGAGAACGGCGGAATCTCGGCAGAGTCTTCACCGATGCACACCGAATGGCGCACACCGAATCAAATCACAATGAAATCATTCAAGATGGATCCTAGACCCAGCGACAGATGACTCAGCATATGTACTTAGATGGAATGAAAGATCAAGTCTGAGTGTAATTGTTTTTCTTTTGGGGATTTCTGGTAAACAGCTTATGGATACGGATATCATACATTTCCCTCTAACAGGAATGCAGGCTTCCTAGAGCTACTTTTTCTCAGAATATGATGTCCTCCCAAAAATCGACCTCCTCATAATCAGCAGGCGACGCCTTCACCCTCATCCACCACTCGTGCCAATTCCGCATTTGATCAAGCAGGCTCGTCATCAATTCGTGCATGTCCCAGTTAGGTCGTAATGAACCATGCCCAGACTGCGTCGAAGGCGTGCCTCGGTTATGTGCTGACACCGTTAACAACGGCCCCGTCGTGACCCAATTCCTGGTTATGTCGTTCCCTATATGCTCAGACCAGGTCAGAACCGTGGTGTCCTGGATCCTGAAGGTCTTATCGAGAGTTCTCAATCGGCGGAACAGCCCCGAGGCTGCTATGAATGGGGTTTCTTGGTTTTCAAGATACTCTTGTGCACCTTCGGCGAGCTGGCTGAACCAATGCAACATAGCCATGACGTTGTCCCAGCCTCGAGGTTCTATAGCCATTAGCGAGAACGCTTCGAGAGACGGTTGAAAAGCGTTGAGGAGCCAAGTGATTCGTCTGAGCGCATGAACATGCTCTGCACTAAGCATGCTCCCTCCTAGGGCAGATGCCCAAGCTAACGTGGTTGTGACTAAGGTAACAATACACTCAAGATTGTCTTCGCTGAGTTGACGAGCAATCGGTGGCAAGTTTATTGCCAATCCAAGGGCATCGCATAGAACGTCAAGCATCGCGTAGGCCTCGACGTTGGTTAAAGTGGCATGAAGCACTGCTGGAAGCATCTTGCCGAGGATGAACGACTTGATGGCATCATTCTGCAGAGCCCCTTTCAATAGGATGACTTCATGCGGCAGTCGACCACGCTGAAGAGCCCCCTTGAAGTTGTTGAGCAAGAAGTGGAAGAGAGTACTTGGGACTCTAGGGTCGCCTTCCGCAAGCTTGAATCCGTATGACTGGATCAACGCTGCCTGTAGCTGCGGGTCCTGCATGGGCGGAGAATACTCCTTGCTCACTTCCAAGAAGAACTTCTGTACGGGACAGATGTCTGGTCCGTGGGCCTTGATGAGAGAGACGATGCTGCGGACGAACTTGACATAGCTCGGATGCTCTGATAAATCAGCGGCCATGATCTGAACATCGGTCCGCATCTGGTTCATGATGGCATTGAGCACTCTCTCGAACTCAGAGCGCACGTTCTTCTTGGATGCAGCGTCAGCTGTATGCAGAGATGTTCGCATCCAGGATATCGCGTCTGGAAATGGTCAATCATCAGAGTCACGAAATTGAATTGTGCAAGTACTCACATTCGAAGAATTCACGATTGGCCAAGTAGCCTGGGTTGACGACGAGACCTGCTTTGTCCGGGATGAAATGATAGCCCTGTCGCTGTAGCTGCTGTCCGAATTGGTTCTCAAATCTCAGGCAGTGGCTTGGCTGTACGATGATTGAGAGCCACAACAGCAAGAGACTTGCTCCAATATCCTACGGCATGTTAGCTATGACTTTTGTAGCATGCATCAGCGGTGGTCCTTACCTCCAGGTTGACCGTTGCTCCCTTCTGCGCAACGATAGAGAGGAAGAGTGGAAGATATTGGCGTTGTTCCCAGTCGAGCTTGTTTGAATCCTTTCCAAACAGACCATACTTGGTCGCTTTAAAGACCTGCGAAAGTGCCTAGCAACAGTGAGTAATTGATTGCCTCCTTGGAAATCAGACCAGTTTACCATCATTCCACAACGGACGAAGAGACCTATCATCGTCCCAGAGACAACGACAGATTGCTCAACGCAAAATTTTGGTACACTTGAGGCGCCATGTTTACCACGCGATTGATTTAACAGGAGGCAGCGTGCTGCTGAAAGAAACCCAGTGGCCAATTCGCGGTCCAGCATCTACGACATGGTTAGACATTTACACAAGGCAAGAAGAGGAATATGACTTACAAGAATAGCATCCTCTGATTCCAAAGTTCGAGAAGCCATACTGTCTTGGCTATCATCGGCTTCGTTGAAGACAGATTCAATCCGGCCCAGAAGACGTTCCAGTGTAGTTAAAGAGGCTTGTAGGAGTGTGGATGGGAAGTCTGCTGGCAATGTAGAGAAATGCTGGAAGACTTGCTGTAGTTGGTCTGCAAATGATGTCAGTTAAAGTACCTTACGCGCGACGTCCGGCATGTTGCTTACAAGGGCTAGAAGCAAGTCTTGCCAGCTCCAGACTACGTGCATGTTGCACAACCTCCATCGAAGATTTGACTGAGAAAAGCATGATCTCCATGGTAGCAGCTTTATTTGTGGCCACAATGGAGTTCATGAGGTCTTCGCTGACGTTGTTGCTATCATCCTTGGACAGTGCCAAGAACTGCTGTTGGATATCTGCTGCGGCCGAGTTGTACTGATCCAAAAGCTGCTTGAACACATTGGCCTGCCAGCTCGCCAACGGATTGAATGATGCAGCAGACTCGTCGTGTACAACAAACCTTGCTAATTGATTCCAGGCCCGCAAGTTGATCAGACAGGCTTCCTTGTGAGAGCTAGCAGGTATCACCAGCTTCTCCAGGTTGTGGATGCCCGGACGAAGATCAGCTGGTGCTGCCCAGAACAGAGTGCACAAAAGATCGTGGTGGTTCCTGAGAGCTGCTAAGTCATGTTGATGGACGTTCTGTTCTTTGGAATATTGCCGGTCGTGGTTTGGCAGTGTGCGAGTAACCAAGTTCCGGATGTCGTTGACTGACCCTCTCTGCCTCAACTTCTTGATGGCTAGTGCCACAAGTTTGAGAAATATGTGAAAACACCTATCTTCAGGCTCGACATGAAGGGACGGGTCAAGGTGAAGGTTGTCTAGGAAACGAGCTGAGCGGAAAGCTTCTTCATTGCGCAGATGAGACAAGTTCTGCGACCCAAAAAAGTCGAAGATGGTGCCGATGATACCGCTGCATTTTTGCCAGCCCCATTGATCTACCAGATAGTGACATCTTGACACTAGTGCACGGCAGTAGTCGTTGAAGCTGGGCGACTGACGGGGGTTGTCGCTGTATAGTTGGAAAACTCGTTTGAGGACTTGCTGGGGTAAATGCCACCCTTCCAAAGGAATCAGGTGCCTCCTGTCGGCAATGATAACACCAGTGTCATCAAACTCGCACAATGGCAAGAGCGTGAACATTTTGTTCCAAAGGTTCTCGAACTCTTGGGAATCCATTCCACGAATGACGCTTGGTTGTATTATGCACGAGTACGTGACGTCCCAAAAGGTCATTTTAGGAATCCGCAGAAATTCCAGGACCTTCATCAGGAGCACCCAAGCATGTGCTACGATCTTGTCGCAGCGAATACCACGCTCACGGTATCCTAGAGTCTGAAGATCATCGTATAATTGTGTGACATCGTCCAGGCCAATGTCGAGTAGCAATCGGACCAGTGCTTCCGCAGTTTTTTTGAGGAGTGCCTCCATAGCAAAGCTCTCTGTCATGAGCGAAGGGCTTTTTTGACAGAGACGAACTGCGTAGGAGACGACAACAAATACGTTTGACATTATGTCGGCAAGTTCCCGACGTTTCGGCAAGTCGATGACATTTTCAGAGTCCAGGCGCGTCAAGAAAGACTTCACCACGTCAGAAACCCGTGCGATGAAGGAGCCAGCACTGGCATCGTTGGTGAAGCTCATCGCTTTTTGTACATAGTCTAGAACGAACCTTGCCGCTTCTTTCGCATTGGGTGCAATTCCCACAGACAGGGAAGGCTTGAGGATGTGATCGAGGATCCCGTCCATTACAATACCGAATTCGGAAGAGACTTGTTCGTTCCACGAGTCCCAGCGAAGTACCAATTCACCCAGACTGAAGGAAATCCTAGGGCGATGATTCCACAGCTTCTCTGGAAACTGATCGTATACTGCTGAACTGATCTTGCCACTGCCGATGAGTGTTGTCTCGTGAAAGAAGACCCCGCGATCCAAGGGGAAAATGTCAAAGTGCTGTGTATAGTGTGTGCCGAAAGGACCGAGGCCAAGAAGCTGATTGTCGTTGGACAAGGTCTTGGGCGTTTCTACAGGTGTAACCAACTCTATAGTAGGTAAGGGGTCATCCGCATGTCGAAATTGGGCTGCAGCAACATCAATACGAATAGGCTGAGCGGGCTTCCTCGGACGCTTCAATAGGGGCTTCTTGGTTACTGAAGGTTCAGGAGAGGCTCTAGTAGCAAGGCTGTGCAATGAAACGACTGAAGATGCATCGTCGAGAAAAGAGTCCAGATGCGCACTTCTCGATGACAACGACTGCGAGTGGCCACGCTTAAAGAGAGCGTCGAGTGCTCGCTTCTTCGCCTGAAAACCGATTCTACCCGGTTGTTCGGTCAAGTCGGCTTCAAGCTGCGCCGGTCGGTTGGTGGCATCCCGTGTGTGCTGACTCGTGATCGAAGTGCTTCTAGACATCGGTCTTGCCCTGGAGCGCGCGTCTGGCAAAGGTGTTGAAGGCGTTGAGCCTTCACGGTGAAGTTGGTCCGGCTGTATGGCGCTAAGGGCCTTGGGAGAGGACACATCACCGCGAGAGAAGACGTTGAATGGCAGTTGAGTGAGTGGACGCCTTCCAATTGTCCCAGTGGGCTTGGTTTGATTCTTGGTCTGTAATCCTAGTCGAGGTCGAATTTTGCCTCCTGTCCACTCTTGTAGCACTCTGCCGGCATCTACATTGTCCTTCCGCGTAGCTAGGCGTATGCTTTTGTTTGCGGGGTTGGATCGGCCCAAATGTCGTTTGTTCTGAGCTGTACGAGCTGCAATCTTCAGAAACTTCGGCGCATCTGGCTCGATGACATCCAAAATGCTCAACCTTGGAGGGGATACTCGAGCTACAGGTCGAGTACTGCTCGAACCGGATTTGAGATTTTTGGCAAAAGAATCAAGGCGCGAAAGTCCAGAAGATCGATTTCCACCTTTGGGGGGTCGCCCACGTTTTTTGGGATGGGTGTGTGGTGTCCGGTCGTTCTTCTTCTGTCTTTTGGCGGGTTGTTGAAAGACTTTGAGAGTGAATTGGCGTTTTCTGCTTGGAAGCATGTGATCGACCTGATCATCTTCAACGACGGAGCCGCTATCATCATCGTCGATTCGTTCCATCACCTCGGATCTCTCGAAAGGCAAACCTGTCTGGAGATTGTGAGAAGGGCGTGTGGGCGTCGGTGCCGATGTCATGTCATCGTCCGAATCATCGAAAATGAGCGCTGATGCCTTAGATGATGCCGAACGACCAATCCGTCGGACCGCTACGCCTCGTCTTGGCAACTTCTCGGGAGATTCTTCGGTACGTTGGTATTGAGCCGGTTTGGGACGATTTGCTTGTTGATCGAGTCTAAGCCAAGATGCTGGAAGAACACCTCGCATCCTCTTGGCAATCACCGCGCCGGCCTCCTCACCGCTGTCATTCTGGCCCTCTGACTCCCCTCCAGAATTGCTCTGCGCGTCTTCATCTCGAAAGCCATCTTCTGCTTCTTCTGCTTCTGCATCAGAAGTGCCCGCCATTGTCAGGTCGAACACCGGCGGCTCTGCGTCAACTGAACCATGCCTTTCAGACATAAGAGGGGACAGCAAATTGCCGTCCACGATAGGCTGATCATCGTCCTCCACAAATTCTGTTTCGATATTGCTCTCTAAAAGCAATGACTCAGGATCAACTCCTTGATTGTCGGCGGCAGACTGCACTTCCGGTGACGAGGACGGTGAAGACAGTATACCGTAAATCTCATCATACTGCTGAAATTGCGGACGCGAGGGCGAAAGTGTATCTGGAACCACCGCCTCCGTCTCTCTAACCCTGGCCACACTGCCTTTTCCACGTTTGCGCTTCTTGGTAGATCGGTTTGCCAACAAGTCGCGATGGATCTTATCAAGCGAGGGCAAATCATCGATGTCGGAGAAGCTAGTATTGTCCGTATCTCCTTGACTTGGTTGACTGCTCGGCCCCCCACGGTGCTTGGGGGATGACGTTCGGAGGGGCGACGCAGAAAGAGACGACACCGGCTGAGGACCGGAGCTCGGCAACCCCTCCAGGCCATTGAAGTGGCTCTCGTCTATGGTCTCGTTCGGCGCATCAGTAGTGGTTCCTTGGCTGTTATCCTCAAAGTCTTGCTCTTGAGAATCTTCCTCCGGCCTTTGTCGTCTTGGGGCTGGTTCTGTGGGTATTCTGATCGGCCGGATGCCATGCGACTTGAGAGCCTTGCTGTACTGAGCATTCTCTATAAGATATGGATGTTCCTGAATTGGTTTCCTCGGTCTGAACGAGCGTTCATACCGCACAGCGACTTGTCTAGCAACCTCCGCGTCCCTGCTCGAGCTTGGTACCCGATGAGCGGCCGCCGACTTCTGCCGTTCCTTCAACTGGCTCGGCGCTAGAGAGGCAACGGGGGAGGTTGCTGAAGAGGTGAATAAGGGCCTCGGGGGCGCAATATTACCAATATGGGACTGCGCGATTGGGGCTGCCACCTCTGCCTCCGGACTCGAACTAGCAAAGAGCTGAGCAGCCAACCGCCTCTGTCGGCTTTGTTGGCTCAGTTGCGGAGAGCCTGCCGGAGACCTTATGGGAGGCGGAAGGCTTTCGATGTTGTTCTCGACGGGGAACTCGGTTTCAGGAGCAGTGATTTTGACATAGCTCGTCGAAACGCTGTCATCTCCAGCCAGGGGATCGGGAGAGTCATCGCGGTCGTTGGGAAGGTACACACTCCTCGTCTTCGTAGTAGGTGCGACTACTTCGGGGTCAGGGTCGTCGAATTCCAAGTTAAAGGAATTGTCCAGCTCGTCCATATCCGATACTGATGACAGCGGCGAGGAGGGCGGCTCCTCGTCGACAGGCGCAAACACCTCATGGCGGGGGGTTGTTGCTCCATGCTTCGCAGTCGCGGCTCCTGGGCTAATTTGTGACGATTCGGGAACGTCCCAAATGCTTTCTCGAGCGTCCTTCGTTTGCGAAATATTGGCAGTGCGTTTCGAAGGTAGTTCGGGGTTCGGTAGCGACTCAAGATCCTGGCTATCGAAGTCGAGTTCGTCGTCCGAGTCTGGGACCTCACCCAGTTCTTTCCAGTTTGCCATGACATGAAGCGTTCATCATAAAGAATTGCACATCGTAAGCTCTGAAGCGGGAAGGGGCTTATTATGAAGGAGGCTGGTGGCCAAAATTTTGGCCCGTCTTCTTTGATCCGAAAGGCGGTAGTGCTTTCATTACCTAAGGAAATGGCACCGGGGCGCTGTGCAATAATCGAATGTTGAAGCAGACGCGTTCAGGCGGTTATTGAGCGCGTCTGGTGGGGCACAAGCTGTCGCACGCGGTAGCACGGGAAACCACTTTAGGTTAAGGTACCTCACTGTGTTCACCAACCTTCCAGTATCCGTGCCTGGAGGTAGTGTACGTCGTCCGTCAACTGAGCATGCGCACGGGCCCCGGCCGGTCCCGAATTTTGGGCGACCGACCGCGAGCTATCCCGATGATTACATCACAGCCGCTGTCTACTCTCAATTACAAGAGTAGCCGCAGCCTAGCATAAGAGCAGTGCTCGTGGCATACTTCGAACAATCTTACTATTCTAAGCCAGTCAAAACCCTCAAGATGAGCTTCAGAAACGTTGTGCCCATCGTCGTAGCTGTGGTAGCAGGCATTTCCATCAGTATGCAACCCCCCAACCCCCCCAACCGCCAACTACTCGACACCAGATGAAAGTTCTTTAGCCCGACTCAACAGTCACTAACTGTACCAGCTAACTACACGCTGAAGCCTGAGCTCGAACGGCAGCAGAAGCTGCGTGAGCAAAGCCAGCAACTACCCAAGACCTTCTCGTCTGGTGAACCGAAGACCTCCGAATTGCAGACCTCGAACCAAACAACATCTCAAGCTGGCGCGGGTACAGAGAACTGGAGACCGAAATCTTGAAGTTCAGAACGACGTCGACTCAACAAATAATCCATCAAAGAGCTTCCGGACTGCCCTAATATAGCTTACCTTCTGGCGACAAAAGTATCCATGTCCACCACAAACACATCTCATACTTCGGAGACCGTGAGAACTCTTCCAAGAATGGGAGCTTGTGTGCATGGGAATCATAACGGGCAAACGAACAAACTGTTCGCAGAGCTGGTTGGTCACTTTCTGAGCTCGTCTTCAAGCCTCAGAGAACTTCTCTCACTTGGAAGCATGCGACTCGGGATGAAGGAGTGGCCGTAGGATATTTGATAACACCAGAGAGCATGACGTGGTTGTTACACTAAACTGTACAATAAGGTATCAAGCATTCAATAATGGAAGAGCACTCCAAGTGGAGAGTGCGCGACTAGGAAAGAATGCGCTCATTGGTTGAAATGACTGGGTTGCACGAAGGATGACGGTCATCAACTTCGTTCGGCCGAGATGCGCCGTGATGTCAAAGTTATATTACCACAGAACCGTTCGGATGCTGCGGCCAATTGAGTACAGGAAATAGTAGAACACGGAAGCAACAAAATCTCTGCAAGATGCTCAAATAATTGAGCAATCCTCCAGTCGCATTTGCACCGTCGATACAAGATCATAAGCCGAAGCAACTGCGATCCCGGTCAAACGGCGCAACGGCGGTATTCGGAATGAGCCGACAACCGAGCCTGCAGCACTGAAGGTGACAGCAAGCAGCATAGACTGGAGCTACCTACCCGCAAAGCTCCCGTCAGCCCAGACACCGAGGTGAAGGAACCGGTAACACCCCCCGTGGCCCGCCCTCCTGGCCCAGCATCCGATTCCATTGGAGGGATGGCCGCCGCACAGGCCACAAATGTATCACGTGATCCTTCAATCACCCAGTCGCAGCCGGCGTATTGCAATCGAAATTCCAATCATACGATTGCCCGGAACTTCTAGGTAGCTAAAAAACCCTCTTCTTTCTTTTCGACGCCCATCACGAATTCCAAGCCCGCCCTCCCCCCCGCGACGCCCTGACCCAATCGCTCAACCGAGCTCTCCTCGACCTCGACCCTCCACTTAGCGATTTCGACTTTTGCCCCGACAATCCAGATAACAACCGACACAATGTTGCGCCCGACCGTTTCCCTGGCCCGTACCGGCCTGCGCGCCCAGTCCGCCGTCATCCGCCGCGCCGCCTCCACCCACGCTATCTCCAACCCTACGCTCGCCAACATCGAGAAGAGATGGGAGGGCATGCCACTCCAGGAGCAGGCCGATCTCTGGATGGCCCTGAGAGACCGCATGAAGGGCCCCTGGGCTGAGCTTACTCTTCAGGAGAAGAAGGCTGGTGCGTTGACTCTTTCATTATCCGTCGAGGAAACATGATCCGATGTGCCGAAAGGGGAAGAGAGGGGATGGAGGAGTCATTGAGGGAAGTCCCTCAGGAGAAGATCTTCTCTCCATCATCTATCGGCAATTATCAATTGCACGAGTGCGGCATCTATATATGCCATCCGACGCCTCAATTGACTTTTTTTTGATGCCCGACATGCAACGCCGATTCGCATGATACCCCCCCATCCCTGTGCATATGCATTGCGTCACAAGGAACTGTGGGAAAAGGACTCAAGAACCTTAGAAAACTAACGCAAATTGTCTCATGTAGCCTACTGGATCGCCTTCGGCCCTCACGGCCCCCGCTCCGGCACCCCTGCCGGCGAGACCAGCCGCGTCTTCTGGGGCGTCATCGCCGCCGTCGCTGCCAGCCTGGCCATCTTCTCCACCGTCCGCTTGTTCGCCGGCCCTGCTCCCGACACCATGACCAAGGAGTACCAGGAGGCTTCCAACGAGTTCCTCAAGGTATGTAGACAGCGGCTCCCAGTCCTCATCTATCGCGGACAAGTCACCACACTTCAATGGCTGACACTGCTCGCGTCCAGAAACAAAATTCCGACCCCCTCACTGGTCTCTCTTCCGAGGGCTACTCTGGCAAGGGCATGGTCCAGTCTCCTCCCAAGGCTTAATCGATATCCTTCCTTCCCTATCGTCTCTTAGAATCACAATCACAATTCGACCATGGCAGTGTGCCCATGTATTAAATGACTACTAGTAGAGCTGGCATGGGCTGGGGGGCTTGCGACGTGACTCGAGGACAACCATCTGCTTGGTGTAAATACTGTACTAAAAGAGCTGAATTCCAAGCACCTTTCCATTTGTTTCTTTACAACTCTGCCATGATGCCATCGACGAGAAGTCTACTATTAAACTACTACGCAAGTCCTGCTCGGTCACCTGTCTCTTGGACCTTATCGCTCTATGAATTTCTTTCAATGCTCACACGTCGAAGAGCGGTTCATCACTGGTGGTTAAAGGCAAGCCCAGTATGAAAGGCAGTGTGGAAGAGGAATGAACATGTGATAAATCTGTCGGATTTAATTTCTAACAAGGTGCTTTTGCATAATTCATGACAATTGTGATTAGTTTGTGTAACTTCTCCTTCTCCTTCCTTCCTCGTCTCCGTTTATCTCCCACTATCCATGGTCCTCTATCTCTCTCCGTTGTTACGGCACAACTTATGAGTGCTGAGAGATGGCTGACTCCAAGCCAAGCACCTACATACTGTTAGTCTCACAGGTCCTGTTCTTTGGGGAGGGAAATCGTACCAAGGCAGATCTGCTGGGAATGTAAACGTGAGTCCAGTTCTTCCGATTGTTCCACTCCATAGCAGTAGTGAAGAATCGAGTTCCCTCGTCGACCCGTGCGTGGCCTCCAAATTCTTTCGAGTCAGTGTTGAGGATGACCTTGTAAGAACCGGGCACATCAATGCCGATTCTGTAATCGGCGAAGCTCTCAGTGGGATGGAAGTTGAAAATGAAGACCACGCCAGCCCTTTCGAAAACGATGACCTTGTCATTCTCGTTCTTGAGAGAGATGTATGCCTGAGGCGCTGCCAACCAGCCGTACTTGGCCTCGGTAGTGTTCATTGCGCGGTCAAAGTTGTTCAGAGCTTGGTATCGGAGCAAGTTGTCATCAGTAAGGTTGAGCTGGCGTCGAGCATACCAGAATGAGTTCTGGTTGCCCTCACGCGGAAAGTCGAGCCATTCAGGGTGGCCAAATTCATTGCCCTCGAAGTTCAGGTAGCCTTCACCGCCAAGGCCGTGCGTCAACAGACGAATCATCTTGTGGAGAGCCATGCCGCGGTCAATGACTGGCGTCAATGGGGTCAAGGTTGACATGTTTGTATACATCTCGGCATCACAAAGATGGAACATGAGAGTCTTATCACCCACAAGCCTGGCTCAGTTAGCTTCAAGTGTCATAGATTTCGTACAGGGGGTAAACCTACGCCTGGTCGTGACTTTCTGCGTAAGCAATAGTCTTCTCGCCATGTCTCCGGTTCGTCAGAGTGAAGCAGATGTTGCCAATATCCCAGTTCTCGTCCTTCGTCTCCTTGAGAATCTTGATCCACATATCCGGGACGGCCATGGCAAGTCGATAATCAAAACCAACGCCACCAAGCGAGAGCGGCAGACAAAGAGCCGGCATACCAGAAACATCCTCGGCGATGGTAATAGCTTCCGGATATAAGGAGTGCAGTAACTCATTCGCGACCATGAGGTAAGCAATCGCCTCCTCATCAGCGTCGGGCCCGAAGTACTCGTGGTAGCCTCCAGAAAATCCGCTGTGGTCGTTAGCAAGGATACTGGTGGGTTCAAGCAAGTTTAGCACCTACGTTCCGATACCGTGGTGCAAGTAGAGCATGCTCGTCACACCGTCGAAACGGAAGCCATCGAAGTGGTACTCGTCCATCCAGAATCGCAGGTTGCTGAGCAAGAATCTCATGACTTCGTGATGGCCGTAGTTGAATAGCCTGCTGTCCCACAGCTCATGGCGGCCACGTGCTCCCTCGTGGAAGTATTGGTGGTCAGTGCCGTCGAATTCATTGAGTCCATCCAAAACATTCTTGGAGGCATGGCTGTGAACAACGTCGAGGAGCACAGTAATTCCCATGCTGTGAGCTGTGTCGACCAATTCCTTGAGGTCTTCCGGGGGCCCGTAACGACTGCTAGCGGCGAAGAAGTTATTGATTTGGTACCCAAAGCTGGCGTAGTAGGCATGCTCCATAACTGCCATGAGTTGAATAACATTGTAGCCAAGGTCTCGGATTCTGGGCAGCATGTTTTGGGTGAACTCCTTGTAAGTTGCAACCCGCAACTCGGGTGAGGAGATTCCCACATGGGCCTCGTACACGCGGGCACTGCGAGGCTTTTGCGGTCTCGGGTACTTGAATTCGTACTTTTCTCCCGCAGGAGGGTTCCAGAAGCGAGCATCGTAAGCTGGAGATACGGACAGATCTTGCGTCACGTATTTGATCCACGCAGGCAGCCGGTCGACACGCTCGCCACTAGGGAGTTGCAAGGAGATCTGTAATCATATGAGCCCTATCACGTCTCACAGGCACTGTCAAAATGAGCATACCTTGACTTTGGAGTTGTGAGGAATTGCAGCTTGGCCGTTGGTAGCGGGAAGAGTAATTTCGAAGACTCCGAAGTTGTTCTTCTTCATCTCATGAGAGTTCCGGTCCCAATTGTCTGTCGCAACCTAATCAGCGGGGGCCAGTGCCCGGAATGCAATGAAACTCACTAAAATCACCAGTCAGGAAAGCCTGAGTGGCGTTCGGTGCCCATTCTCGATAGACAATATTGTTGTCGTGGTCCACATTGAATCCGAAGATTGAGGTACCCTATTAACCCGACTAAGCTCTTGGACTGAAGCTATGACCTCATTCGACCTACCTTGGAGAACTTCTCAAGCCCACCTTCAGTATCATTGATTTTCTTGATCCAGTCCTGAGCGCGGGAGTAGCGCCTCTTCAAGGATTCCTGAAAGGGCGACAGCCAGGGGTCAAGCTTGACAACACCTGACATGTTTAAGCCAATGGTCCTGCAAGGGGATAATACCAGGATGTTTACCAGTGCCGTCAGTTGGAAAGCCGTCGG